AGATAAATCTGTAGACCATCTTTGTGAATTCCCATGATAAGATATTGTATTTAATATAACAGTACATTCAGATTGATATTGCCTAATGCAATAATATTTACTTTCCATTATGTGCAGCATTTACCTTTTCATGGTAGTGTGACTTCAGTTTCTTAAATACCAACTAAAACTGGTACCTAACGAGGCATGAACTCTCCAAGGTTTATTATTTCTGCTTCATTTAAATTTAGCTGCTTCAGATACAGCAGATGTAACCCATTGCTCTCTGTTACAAAACGCAGCTGGAAGTTTTTTGTATTGTCTGAAAGTTTGTTTGGTTGTTTTCTTCCAACTATGGGTATGTCAAATACCATTAAATGACATTTGATACAGTATGTATGTTGAAATATTTTGTTTATCTTGTAAGATAACATCTGGGTGAATATAAGAAAGCCGTGACCTGTATTGTAATTTTTAATAAAGCAGAGTAACCAAAAAGAATTTCAGTCAGTAGCTTGTTCTTCATAGGGGTGTACACAGTGATGAGCTGCCAGAAGCTGAAGAACCAGTTCCTTCAATTGCTCCGGGTCTTCGGTGGCACTGAAGAGCCTGCCACCAAAGGCCCAGAGCGAGTGAAGGACCCACCACCGAAGGCCCAGAGTGCCGCTGGGTGAGTAAAAATTCTCAGGGGAGCTTCCCCGGCTGAGAGCTCAGGCAGGACGGAAAGGATGGTCCCTCATGTGGCCCAGGGGCCACAGTTTGCCCACCCCTTTAACAACCGGTTCGCGTGAACCGGTGCAAACCGGCTCCAGCTCACCACTGGGTGTACAGTACAGTTTAAAAATAGCACTTCCAATATTCTGTGAGTGAAGTGATTTTTTAAAAAATGTTTAACTTGTATCTGCCTGTGTTTATTTCTCACCCATGGAGGGTTTTGGGTAAGCATCCAAAAGTATTTGTGATGCGTTTGTCTAAATTGAACCTTATGAGATCTCCCGACAGTATTATTTTTAATAACATTTTGATAACTTTAGTGTATATGTTGAAGGCAATTTACCCTTTTAGAACTGTAATAAGAACAGGCCTTCAAATAACTCAGCTGCGGGTTTTGTCCCAACACAGTTTAATCGTTTTTGAAACCCTGCTTATGGAATCTTGTTCAGTACTTTAGGGCTAAGCTACATGGAGACACTTACTGGCATAATTGTAACTTCTAATGTGAATGCTCTTCTGAACGAGTCCCTCTTTGGGATTTAGCTTGTCACTTCCAAAGCAACATAAATTAAACCAGAAAAAGAGACACTTATTCTGGAACTGTGTCTAGGTGGGGAGTTATAATCAGGGTAGCTAGGTTGATAAATATCCCTATGTAAACAAGTCCTCACCCTAAATACTTTTCCCCTTCCTTAAACTAGTTCATTGATATGCATCTATGGTGTATTCCTTCATATTTAAACAGTGTATGGACAAAATCCTAGGGAGGAAAGTTCTGTTAAATTTTGTGTGTGTAGACTCCATGTTTTGTAGTTGTTAAGCTGTTCTTTTGGGTAATGAAATTTTAACTCTCTGTAAATAAAAGGAAGAATTTTGCAGGGCATGAGAATAAACGAAGAGGCACTATTGCTTATCCAGCTGCAGCTCCAAATATTGTACTGTTGCATATCACTTTTGAAGAATAGCATCTTACTGCTACATCCATCAGACACATTTCTCAGAGAAAATGCTGATCCTTGCAAGAACCTCATCTGAATGGACATTGCACTGTTTTATCTAAAGTATGCAAACCTGTATAAACCCCACTGTGGTCATGCTGTTCAGGAATCTGTCCACTCAATCAATATATGCCCCTCTTAATCTAAAATAAGTGTCTATGGCAGGTGTGGCTTGTTTACAGTTAATGTGTGGCACCTGGAGGGCACCCCCCACTCCCCCCATTCCTGCCTACAGGACTGGGCTTCTGCCCTGTGGCAGAATTGTGGGACTAGGGGCTTCTGCCCTCTAGGGAGGGGGGTCTAAGGGATTTAGACTGGGGAAAGGGAGGTACTTAATTGTTACAGGTTTTGAAAGTATGGAGATTTTTTGTAAAATCCTTCCACCTGTCTGGTTCTCTAGTTAAAAAAATAAAATGCACTGTGGACTGTACCTGAGCCAGTTGCTTAGTTGCAGAGGTAGGAGTTCAAAGGGAGATTTGCAACAGTGGCTCTTAGCTCCCACTTACATATTGGGGTTTAGCAGGTGACGTGATGGCTCAGTGGGGGCTGCATTTGCTGTAAGCGAATACCCCGCAAGCCAGCGGGGCTTTGAACAAGCCAGGAACCTAACGCTGATGCTGGCGACATGGAAACTGCTAAAACTAACCTCCTCTGACCAAGGAAAACATCTGCCGAAACCCGGGATCGAACCAGGGACCTTTAGATCTTCAGTCTAACGCTCTCCCAACTGAGCTATTTCGGCTGGTTGAGGGCCTGTTTCTCTCCTCTTTACCCTGAAATTGAAGATTGATGTTTAAGGCTTTATTAAAGGGGCTTTAAAGTGTGTTTGTTCATGTATTGATCGAGTGCTTTGGTTAGCCCATTGCCAAGGTATGCAGAGGTCCACTTCCTCCCTTCTTTGATTTGACAGCCATCAGTCTGCAGTGCTGTACACAACCGAGGAAGACGCTGGCCAAGCCAGTCCAGGGAAAACATGCAGGGCAGATACGCCTTTGCCCCTCTAGAATGACTCCGGCACGGTTGATATTGTTACTGATTCATTAAGAGTGAGAAGAGAGGCAGATTGCAGCGGATGTGCGTGGAGGGGGGTCTAAAATGTGGCTATCTATATGAAATATGTCCCCAGAAAGTGGGCCGTATTTCTGCCCTTACTCCTTTGCAAATGCTGGTTGCTCAGATGCAAGAGGTGCCGCAAGTACTCCTTTTCAAGATGCAAGAGAGACAGTCATCCGGGCTTCCTCGGGTGAGCAAAGCACAGGACTGTGAGGGGGTGAACACAAATCCCTCAGAGGGTTGTTGTTTTTTTTAAATCAGATCAAATTCTAGCTTGGGGTTCTGGCCATTGGCCCTGCCCCCTGGTAGAGGAGGTTGCCGACACTCATGCGGCTGCAAGAAGAGGACCTGGAGCCGCTGCAATGGGCCCTCTCACCTAAGACAGCGTCCTGGGGCTGGCTGCACCCATGCGAGTTGTCTGCGAGTTGTCTCGAAAGTCAGCCCGTGTTGGGGATGTGCCCGCCCGCAAGCACAAAGGCCCCCTTCCTGGGAAGGTGCCCCCCGCGGATTTCACAATGTCGCAAGACCATCTCCTCCCTTTGCAGGAGAATCTCAGCCTGGCTTCACAAAACACCCCCCCCCCCCGCACACTTCTGGGAGGCGTCCAAACGTCCCGCAAAACTAAAGCCCAGGGGGTGCACGAGGCCCTGGCCCCATCAGGCTCACCCCAAAGGGGAAGGACTAGGAGGGGCCACGTGGCCAGGCCCCCTGAGGGCATCACCCTCCCTGGAAGTAGCCCCGAATTGCTTTGCACGGCTGATCGGAACGTCCAACGCTGCACATGTAAAAAACAACTAAGTTTCTTCTCCTTTCCCGCGGAGTATTAGCTGTAGCCGTGCAAACACAGCTCTGAATCGGGAGGGAATCAGGCCAGGCAGTCCCTTTTCCAGCCCCTCCCGTCCTCGCTCGCCCGGGGATCGTTTCCGCTGCCTTGTTCTGCACAAAGTCCGCCCTGGGGCCGGCACAGCGCCAGGCGGCGCGTGGGGGGCTGCGGGAACGGTCCCGCCAGCCGGGTCTCTGTGGCGCAATCGGTTAGCGCGTTCGGCTGTTAACCGAAAGGTTGGTGGTTCGAGCCCACCCAGGGACGCGGACCTGCTTTTTACCCCCCGATAGGCTGGGTGTGGGGGGATGCGAGGGAGCGGCCCAGGTTGCGAGTGGGGAGCTGGGGCTTGTGCAAAGGAAATAAATCCTCTTCCCGAAGGACAGGGGACGGGAGCGCGTGTGGGACACTACGTGGGGCAGGGAAGAGGCAGCGAGCCAAGAGCTGCCCCGACGCAAGGAGGGAGAATGTGTTTCTTTGCACACACACACGTCAGTGCAGCTGGGGGTGTCCTTTGCACCCCCCTTACCAATCCTGTGCCCAGTCTGCGCTGCAAACAAACACTGTGCAAGTGTCTGGGACAAGTGAGTACCAAGCACGTGTATTTTGTGCCCCCTTGGCCATCCCACGTTGCGAGTCTGAGTCCGCACCAAGTATCCTGGCCTCACCTTTTGCACACACACCCCCATGCAAATAATTGCACGGCCAGCCTTTCACACACACCCCTACCTCCTTTCACACACACCCACACACCCCTCCCTCCTTTCACACACACCCCTATCTGCTTTCACACACACACACACACCCCTCCCTCCTTTCACACACACCCCTACCTGCTTTCACACACACACACACAGCCCTCCCTCCTTTCACACACACCCCTCCTTTCACACACACACCCACACCCCTACCTGCTGTCACACACACACCACCCCTCCCTCCTTTCACACAAACACGCGCACACCCCTCCTTACACCCACGCACACCTACCTCCTTTCACACACACACACACAGCCCTCCCTCTTTTCACACCCCCACCCCCACCCCTACCTCCTTTCACACACACCCTCCTTTCACACACACACCCACACCCCTACCTGCTGTCACACACACACACCCCTCCCTCCTTTCACACAAACACGCGCACACCCCTCCTTACACCCACGCACACCTACCTCCTTTCACACACACACACACAGCCCTCCCTCTTTTCACACCCCCCACCCCCCACCCCTACCTCCTTTCACACACACCCTCCTTTCACACACACACCCACACCCCTACCTGCTGTCACACACACACACCCCTCCCTCCTTTCACACAAACACGCGCACACCCCTCCTTACACCCACGCACACCTACCTCCTTTCACGCACACAGACCCGCACCCCTCAGGCAGGCGGAACCTGGAGGGCCTCCCTGCGTTTCCCCGGCCTGCCGGGGAGCGGTGTGGGGGCTGCACCGGCTCCGGCCGGATGGCTTAGGCGGGTGCACGGCCCCTGCCAGGCAGAGGTTGGCTGAAGGGCTGGAGGCAAGATGGCTGCGCTGGCTGGTGAGTGGGGGGGCAGGAGGCAGGGACACCCCCTTACCCGGGGGATGGGGGAGCCCCCCCTTCTAGGGCTGAAGAAGGTGGAAAGGGGGGTCGCTCCCCTTTTGTCTGGGGGGACCCTCTCCAGTGGGCTCAGCCCAACCTCTCTAGTAGGAAGGACCCCCCCTTATGCCCCCCAGCTTAGGGGTCTGGATTGTGGGTGACACACCGTGGCAGGATCCTCTTGTAAAGTGCCTTGAAAGGAACTCTCCGCTCCCTCCAGCCGGTGGATTTTGGCAGCCTATCATAGAATCATAGAATCATAGAATATAAGGGTTGGAAGGGACCCCAGAAGGTCATCTAGTCCAACCCCCTGCTCAAAGCAGGACCAATTCCCAGTTAAATCAGCCTGATCCTCTGGGGTCTCTTGGGGAGCAGTGCGGGCACCGAAATCCCTGCAGCGGGGTTGTGACGGCGCAGGGTGGCTTGTCTGACGCGCTCGCACGGGTGGCAAGTCCTGGGCTGTTGGTCAACAGGCCGCGGGGCGCCGAGCAAACCAAGAAATTCACTACAGCAGGCTCTGAACTGGATTTGGGGAGTGGCAAATGCTCGGGTCCCCAAATATTAGGCTGCTGTCCCGATCCCAGATGGGTACTAGATTGCTGACTTCCGCCCATGCAGTGCTAGCTGCTGGGCTGTCAGTGTGACGGTTTGGAATAGTGACAAGGCGGGTGGGGTAATATCTTTTGTTGGACCAACTTCTGTTGCGGGGAGAGAGACAAGTTTTTGAGCTCCACAGAGCTCTTCTTCAGGTCTGGGAAACTAACTGAGTGTGTCACAGCTAAATCCAAGGGGGGACAGATTGTTTAGCATAAGTAGTTAACAATTTCAAGGGACCGTTGAAAGGGTGTCATTAAGTCACTGACCTACTTTTGCCCTAGACAGTGAATTGTAGGCACTCTTTCTTTTAATCACACTTGTGATTTGGACAGAGGCACGGTAACGCTTGCTTGAAGTGCATTGTTCTTGATATTTAAAAAAGCACCAGTCTGTGTGTGCATTTACTTATTTATTGCTTTGCTTGGTTTCAGGGCTAATATATTTTAGTGGGTGAATGTGACTTTGTGGGGAATGGGTTAGAGTTTTATGACTGAAAGATCTGCTTAGCTTTCCAAACCTTGCAGAATTATACCCATTTGAGCATGATGATGAGGCAGGTTGGTCAGTATTAAATCTCTTACCTGGGGCTTGGACATCCCTCCTCTCCCTCCCCTGCCTACCCCACATTATTCTCACTCTGGGCCTTGGGGGAGGAATAGCAGACTTAGTGGAATGCTGCTCCTGAGATGGCAGAGCAGTGCAGCACCATTATCATCTTTCATTGAGATTCTGGCTGTGTTAAAGGTAAACTGCCCTGTGGCTTTTGTTCACAGCTCCTCGCCTGGCCCGGGTTGGGATATTTCTTTTGCGGTAAGTTGCACCTGGTTGGTTGAGCAACCACAAAGAAGATATTTACTTGTGGGGGGAGGGTGGCAAAATGGATTAAATCATTTTGCTGCTTGCAGCCCTCTTCATGCCTTTCTCATGAATCCTTCCAATCTGCCATCTCTACAGCCCTATTCCTTTAACGTATTTCTCCTCAAGTGAGAGTGAATTTGCGCTGAATGCAGCTGCACAGCTCTCTGCTTGGGTTGTTGCTGTTCGTATGGAGACAGTAATGTCAAGTTCTTAATGGACATTCAGGGAAACAAGCCTGGCTTGTCTGATTATGGTAGGGTCACTGGAAAATGTTGCCCCGGGGTTAGATCGCAGGGCTGGAAGTCAGGACTCCGATTCTGTTCTCACTCTGCCACAAACTTTGGTCAGAACGCTTACTTCCTCCATTTGTCCGTTTAGCTGTCTGTAAATGGGGTATTATGCTTCACGGGGCTGAGGGGCTTAATTAGATAGTGTCCGTAAAGTACTGTGAGATCCTAGGGTGGAAGGGATGACATAACTGGCAAAATGTTGCTGCTGCACCGTGATGTTCAGCTGTGTTCATTTTTACAGGCCTAGCACTGTGACACCTGTCCACGCTCAGTCACTCCATGAGACGCCAGCGACCGGCCATGCTGACAGGTAACGCCACGCGACCGTCTAAGTTCTTTAGCTGAGTGTCACTTCTTCAGGTGGGAGATTGCAAGTGATACAGGAAAGGAATGTCTGTTTGCTACAGTTCTGTTCTGGTGTATGGCCGAAGGAAGCCCAGTTTCTCTCTCTCCTCTTAGCAATCAGTATTAAATGGCAAGGCGTTGGGTCCTAGAGATGAGCCTGCCAGGTAGCCCGAGTGTAATGAAGGTCCCAGTGAAGGTTCCCTGCCTGAGCAGCAGATTCCACGATATCTGGATTTTTCCCCACAATGTGGAGTCTGCTTGTTTGAACAGCATAGAGCTCACTCAGCCTGGTGCGCTATTTTTAACGGTTAGAACTCTCCAAAACAAAACGCGATGCAGTATATACAGCCTGTGATCCAGAACCCTCGCCATCTTCAGCCTCCTGCGTCACAAGGCAGATGACTGATATTCACAATGTTCTATGTGTTGTGCTCCTCCTCTTCATCGACTGGAATCCTGGTCTTTAATTTGGGGACGAGTTCCAGTGCTTGTGAAAGTGGGGGACAAACAGCACTGGTATGTGAGCCAGGTGCGTCCTTCCCTCTGAGCTGGCCAGCCGTATCCCTGGCTATTCCACACCCCCGGCTCCTTACCAGAGCACCTTCGTTGTGACTTGCTCTTCCAATCCTGGATCCCATGCACAGGCCTGCCAGTGCATCCCTGTCCTGAACTGCACCATCCCCTGCATTTCCAGCCCAGACCAGACATGCTTTATTGTCCCGAATGGGGTGGTACTGTGAGATTTCCTCTGGCTTTTAAACTGGCTGGTCCAAAGGTGACCGCTGAGTTTATCCTCGCCCTATTGTGCCATCTTTGGCAGCAGCAGCAGCAGCTGGTATTGAATTGACTATGAGGAGCTTATTCCAGGCCCTTCAGGGGATCGAATGCCCTCAGAGCTGAGACACCTTAATCAGTGACTCTGTTAATAAGCGGATAGATTGTAAGCTGGTGTAGCCGTCCATGCTGTTTGTTCTCAGCCCATCCCAGGTCCAGCAAAAGAGCACTACCGTCGTCCAGAAAAAATCCTACGTCCCTACCAGCCGGGGAGAGTATATTGTTACCAAACTCGATGACCTAATCAACTGGGCTCGTAGGGTGAGTGGCCAGGAGCGCCCATGGCCTGTAAACAAGAATGGGTAACAAAGGCTTTGGAGTGCTCGCGGGAAGGTAGATGAGCCTGTCTCTTTGAAAGGGCAGCAATCAAGTTCAAAACCTCTGGTGCCCTGCGATGAAATAGCACATGTTCCTTGGCCAGAGCTGGGGGTTTGGGGGTTTCTGCTTCAGACAGAGGACTAACGTCTTAATCTGAAGGTGCTACAAACTTACTTAAATATTGTGCTGAGAGAGTCACCCTGTTCCTCTGTGGTTTCCCTCCTACCTTGAATATTCCAGCAAATGTTGCTTTCTTGTCTCTATCTGTATCTGAGGTGGCTACGCTGAGTTCAGCCAGTGGGACTCTTCAGATGACACCTTAAACTGAGGTGTCTCTGCTCTGGAGAATAAGGCTTTGTCCTGGCCAGGATTGCTTTTTTCCATTCTCCTAGGCCCTCGTGCAATTTGTTATGCACTGGCATCTGCCCGTCTGTCCCAGAACAGGCTGCATTTCAGTGGTGCTGCAGGTATAGCTTGGGCATCCTGAAAGGCTGCGTGCGTACGCCCAGGTGTAAAGCACCGTGGGGCAGAGGTCTTGCCTTCTCTTTTGCATGCAAAGCCCACATCCATCTGTAGCACTACATGCGTCCTACAGAACGTAAAACACCTTTGCTATCCCCCCCCCCCGACCCCCAGACTTCCTGTCCCTTGAAACGTTTGGAGCGGCCCACACGGGTCTCAGTGCTGCAGACCCCAGTCCTGTTAACCTAACTTAGATCTCTTCCGTCCCAGAGCTCCCTGTGGCCAATGACCTTTGGCCTGGCATGCTGTGCAGTGGAGATGATGCACATGGCGGCTCCTCGCTATGACATGGATCGCTTCGGGGTGGTGTTCCGGGCCAGCCCCCGGCAGGCGGACGTCATGATTGTGGCCGGCACCCTGACCAACAAAATGGCCCCAGCCCTTCGGAAGGTATGGATTCTGGCCACGTTGGCAAGTGCAGCTTTATAACTCCAATGTAAAAGGAGTTTCACTGTGAAATCTCTCTCTCCTCCAGGTTTATGACCAGATGCCTGAACCACGCTACGTGGTCTCCATGGGAAGGTAAATGCCAGAGGCTTCCTTATTATCTTACAATTTGCTGGAAGGAAATCTGTTGCCACTGCCTGTGTTAAGTCAGGGTATGCAGTCGTGGGGTGTAATTGCGCCTTCTGTAGGCATACTGAGGGTGCTTTACTCTGACTAGCTCAGGGCCTGGAGCAGTGAAGCCATGTCTGCACGGGCTGCAGAGTGTTCTCCGCAAACCCGCCCAGGAGCCTGCATAATTACTTGTGGGACTAGCCTGTGCTGAAGCAGGCACTGCTGCAGCTTCCCTGCTCCAGGACCCCAGCTAACTAGATTAAAGCTGTCTGGGGTGTGTCTACATGAGCTGCAGTCCCACCCGTGAGTGCAGTATAGACCTACCCTAAGAATGTGTATCGGAACGAGCAGCATGCGTCAGCAGGAGCAGCAGTAATTTTAACCAGACTGGTTTCTAAAACCCCATTTGTATGCACAGATCATGCCGCAGGTTTGGGTTATTGTTGTGTGACTGACACGGAGAGTTTTAGAACATAGATTTCTTTTAAATGAATGAAATTCTTAAGTCCCTTGCTCAGAATCTGGTCTGTCAGGAAAGCAGCCGGGGCATCCAGAGATTCTCAGAACCAGGAGCCTAAGCCATGGGGAGATGCACTGGTGCACAATTATTCATCTGCATGTGTCACTTAGGCTCTTGTGTCTTGAGAGCTCGGCCCTTTATGTTCATGTTGAATGGCCACAATATTGACTCAGCACTGAACTGTCTGAAACTTGCCCATGGCTTTAAAGTCTTTTGCTTTAACTGCCATGTGGCTCTGTTCTCTCGGCATCTCTGATGCACGGGTAAAGTCTTGCCTTGCCTTCTGTGTAACTCTTGCCTGGTGCTCCCGAGTTGCACTTCAGAGGACACTGAATCCTTTACGTCTTTTGTAGCTGCGCTAATGGTGGTGGTTACTACCACTACTCCTACTCCGTGGTGAGGGGCTGCGACCGCATTGTGCCAGTGGACATCTACGTTCCAGGTAAAAAGAAACTCTGCTTGTCTCTGTGGGATTACAGCATGTTACCCTAAGCGCAGCAAGCTGGAACATAGCTGCAGCAACCTATCGCTGTGTTTTAGTTTGGACTGTGACTGTAATATGTTATGACTCTAGTCCAGTCTGTTGCTACTGAAGGGCCTTTTGTTTAAATTTTAAACTGCATCACTTACATTTTCAGGCTTTCATTACATTGTGTTCAAACAAGGAATTGGGAAGAAAGTCAAATCCTTGTAACTTCTAGACAGGCGATTGCATCCAGTTCAGTCTGGGCATGGCACAGGGGTATTCATGAGTCCACAAGGAAGGAATGTTCTGTGTCAACATACCAAGTTATTTACAAGGAAAAGCAGTTCTGACATTCATAAAACTTTTCCAAGTGCATCTCTGTTCTAACGTGTAAAAATACAGCCCTCTCGTCTGTGACGGCTGCTTTTTTTAATGCAAGAGAAAAACTTATGCCTTATTTCCAACTTAACAGTGAGGGTGATTAAAACCCCCCTGGAATAAACTGCCACGGGACATCTTCAGAACAAGACCGGCTGCCTTTCTGGAAGAGATGTTTTAGTCAAGTTATTGGGCTCCATCCAGGGGTAATTGGGTGAAATTCTCTGGAACTGTGCTATGCTGGAGGTCAAACTAGATGGTCTAATGGGTCCCTTCTGGCCTTAAAACGTATTCATTTATGCAGTCTCTCTCTGAGTGACCCTGTTGTATGTCAGCTGGTGTCTTTAGCCCACCCAGTGCAGCTGGTTGGCTGTTGTCTATTATGTGTACTGAGGTAGCACCTTGGAGTTTCAGTCATGGAGCAGGACCCTCCTGCCCCGTGCTAGGCGCTGGACAAATGCGGCCCCGAAGAGCGTACAGTTCTCAGGCTCTCCCTCTCTCCCTCAGGCTGCCCACCTACCGCCGAAGCACTGCTCTATGGAATCCTGCAGCTGCAGAAGAAAATCAAGCGGGAGAAGAAGATTCAAATCTGGTACAGGAAATAGCCTCCCTTATTTATGACCTAGCTATTCACCCCCTTCCCTGACAGAGAAATGTATTGGTATTGTCACGCACACTGCAGCTGTGGTCTGCACAAGCCTCACAATAAAATGTGATCTGTTTAACGTGATCTCCTGTCCTTAAACGTTCCCACTCGTTTATTTAAACTGGGGGGGCACACTTCACAGCCAGTGTCATTGCACATCCCAGGTGCTCCCTGGGTGCCATCCTCCCATCCCTCTTTTTTTCAGGGACTCTCTGCAACTCACCCAGTGCCCCCCTTCCAGGTGTTCTGGGTGCCCTCCCCCCACACATTTCCCCCCCATGGGTATATGGGTTAAATCGGATAGGATTCCAAATACACTGGTTCCTGGGTGGAATGGTTCACGCGGGGGACAGAGCATGCCCACTAGGTTCTTCACATTGTTAGCTGCTGTTGCCAAACATCTGTTCTGCAGCCTGCCTCCCTTCTGTGACTCTGAGGTTGACCCCCTGGCTGCAGTGGAAATTGCAGGTTCGGGAAACTGGCCCCTCTTGTGTAGTGATGTTGTTTACGTAAAATAGTGTTAACTGTGCAAGCGGCCAAACAAAACTGGGCAAACCAATTTCAAACACCAGAGGAGTTGAGGCAGATACATAAGTGTGTTTCGAATGTTTCACAGAGTCCTGGTTTGATTTTAAACTGGGGGGAAAGTACCTCTCAACTCCTACCTCTTTGATGATAACAGGGTTAGATTCAGCTTGCATAGATGAGATTTATTTGGGTTTTTTTTACCCCTCTGTGGCAATCAGGACCAAGATGTGTCCCCAGCTTTGCCATCGATGGGATGTTTTGTAAATCAGTCCCAAGCCTGCTCTAAACCAAACTCCCAGATGTCACATCTCCACTTCCTCACCTGCAAAATTCTGAGCTTGATGCTGTCAGCAAAAACACAGCTACACCAGAGGCTGATATGGACCTAAATCAACATTTACAGTCTTCATTTCAGCCCATTACTGCAGCTTCTATACCTCCCTTTGCCACCCTAAAGCTCTGCTCTCTTTGATGTTTACACTTTTCATATACAGTATCTGTGAACTGTCTTCAGTCGTCACTTCAGCCAACCCATTAATTCCCGCCCCTTTTATAATCTTTACTGCTAAATGAGTCCCTCTGGCCTCCGGATAGATTTTGCGGCTCTTCTCTCAACTCCATCCAGTTTATCATCATCTTTCTGATAATGCGATGCCTAGTACAATGTCCCAGGTACTGCAGCACCAGAGCTGTACAGAGAAGGATTTATCTCCCTGTTCCACGACGTCTATGCATACAACACAACTGTATTTGACCTCTCTTTATAGCTAGGTCCCATTGGATACTTAGCACTTCTGTACATCAGGCCTCTTATCTGGTTGCTTAACTCAGTTCTGAGATCCTTGCCTGTCATGCTGACCAACATTCTCATTGTTTTCTTTGCTCCCCCATTTCCGTCAGTGTTCACGTGTTATCTCTTGTCTTAGATTGGAAGCTCTGTGGGGCAGGGACCATGCATTTGGACAGCCCCTAGCTCAATGGGGACTTGGTTTGTGGGTGGGGCTTATAGTCTATATTTAGGCACCTGCTTTATCTAGAATCTTGCCCAGCAATCTTATTAAAAAGCAGCGGCTTTTGTGAAAATGGGACAGGAATAGAAAGCTTCTAAGCCGATCTTAGGCTGCCACCATCAGGACCACAGGAGAGTAAACAGATTGGTGATTTGCTACCAGCACTTCAGGCCATCTGTAATGACGAGCACAGAGCCACTGCAGAGTTATGTGTGCTTATAAAAAATGAAAATAAATTATTCTGAAGTCTTGAGCTGTAGTTTTTAAGTCAATTTACTGTCTTTAGTGTTCGTATTAATAGCATGTCCACCACATCTATGTACAGAGGTGGATAGTCAGTCATGTAGTGGTAAACTTCCAGGAAGGTCATAAGAATTCATTACCAAAATCTTAATTAAAAACAGGCCATTGGCCAAAAATATAAGTGGAGATTCCCACGGGATATGCTCTGGGAGTTGTCTGAATCTCATTTAATTACACAAATGCAAATGCCAGGCTTTCAGAATTAAACTCTGTGGGGTAGAGGGTACTTTACTCGGCTGGTCGGGGAGAGTCAAGTCTTGATCTTTGGAACACTGTCTTTTTTTACTGGAAACTCCGATTAGAAAATCCCTCATTCAATCCCTACCTACAGTCCCCTACTGATTTTCACTTTAATCAACAGCTGTGGAGCCTACAGCGAGGGCTCTGAGCGCAGGTCAAACCCCACAATAAAAACATTCTTTAAAAACGTAGGAGAAATGCCCCAGATCCACAGCCAGGCCTTGGAGCAGGTTTCGTTTACCAAATAACACCTAGCTCTGACCTAGGGTCTTAGAGCCATAGATCTCAAAGCATTGGCTGGGGGGGAGAAAGGGAATAATGTATTGTGGATGGGGAAACTGAGGCACAGACGGGGCAGTGACTTGCTCATAAACACCAGCAGCTCAGTGGCAGAGCTGGGACTAGAAGGCAGGAGTCCTGAATCCCAGTCCTAGTCACTTGGACCCTTTGTGGTGCAGGGTCCACTACAGACGTGCTAGTTCTAAACTGTGATAAACTTCCAACTGTACTTTCCCAAATCTTCCCCTCCTCTCAATCTTACTGGAAAGTCCAATCGATATGTTAATCTTCCCTCATTAGTACTGTAGAGCGATGAATATTCCCTCCCCTCCCTGGATTGTAAATAGCCAGTCCTTGATGATTTAGTTTTCACTCCTCCTGGCAGGATTTCTTCCCTCTCTCTTTGTTGTAGCAGCTGAGTGAGCGAGACAGGAGAGGGTGCTGGGTGGGTGCTCACTCTTTGATGATGGTGGGCGTGATCATTTTGTGGAAGGAGTAGTACCGGCAGTCCTCAGGCGGGATCAAGTCCATCACGCTGGTGCTTACATTCTCCTTCTTGAACCCTGCCTCCATCAGGTGTGCAACTTGAGTCTCCTAAGGGAGGGACACGTAAGACAGAGAGCGGTGAGGTTCTGAGCCACCGCTGCCTGAACACACAGTCTGTCCCAACGTGATCCTCGAGGAAGGAGACGCCTAACCCTTTGTTTAACCGGTCTGGTTACATTAAAATGACACTGCCCCAGCCACTAAGATGGGTGAAGCTTTAGAACTGTCCTGGAAAAACACCCGCTGTACTTTATGGTGCTTCTGAAGTGTATCCTTGAACTGGGTCCCGCCAAGCCCTACTTGTCAACCGTTCCTTCCTGCTCATGTTATCACCTGCCTGTTATCCAGCCGTGCCATTTAACGGAGGGCCTGTTTCCAAAGTGCTGAGGACTGGCCTGTTTTTATGTGGCTCTAATCCAGGCCTGTAAAACTCACGTGCTCGTTTGTGTCCGCAAACAGAACGGCAGGTGTGAGGCCTAGTGCAGCTTTGCACCCACAGTTGGGCAGGCGGTAGGACTCTGGTATCTGTATGCTCCTGTCAGCAGCCACCTGGGGTGAGTGAGAAACGACTGCAGGGTTTGGCACCCCCTTGCCTGTGGTCATATCTGCCATCAGGCTCTCCGAGCCTCTGCCCCTCCTCACCTCAAACATCTTCTCAATGTCCGTGTACTCCGTCTTGAGCAGCTCCCCCCAGGACGTCAGGTTGCAGTAGGTGAGCACACCGCCAGCTTTCAGCAAGCGGAAAGCGTGACCCTGTGGAAGAGGGAAACAAATGGGAGGCTGATGGGATGCAGGGGCTGCCCTAAACACCGTGCTCCTCTCTGCCTTCCCTCCGTAGCATAGGGTTGCCAACTTGTAATATTTAAAAAACGGACACTCCAGCAGGAGTGCGGGAACATCCCCTGTCCCGCCTCTTCCACCAAAGCCCCGTCCTGTCCCGCCTCTTCTCCTGAGGCTCTGCCCCCTTCGACTCTTCTCCTCCCCCCGTCTCTCGCTACTTGCCTGCGGAGGTAGGGCTGGAGTGGGTGATGACAGTGTCTTCCTGCTTGCAGTAACTGGACTTTGGGTGTCTGGTCAGTAGATCTGACTGGACACTGTCAGGCCCCCTTTTGGACTGGATTTTCCAGTCAAAAACCAGGCACCTGGCCATCCTACTGTAGCACCTGCCATCTAGAACAACCTCTCCCGACATCTCCCCTCTCCATTTCCTTTCAGAGAATCTGTGAAAGCTTCAATTGCCCCTTGCTAGGGTCAGTCCCTCTCCCACGTAACTCCAGCAAAACACTTCTTGAGTAGCGTTGGTAGGAAAGGTGCCACAGGAGACAAACGTGGGCTACGTGCGAAAATCCCACGTTCCTAAAACACTGCTGGGCCCCAAAGCAGCATGGAGAAGCTGATGGCTGTAACGTAACAACCGGCAAAGGCCCATCCTAGCAAGTCTCTCGGGGCCAGGTCCGTCTCATGATGACTCCCGTGTGGCTTTGGAGGTGGGCTACAGATCTAACTCTCCAGCTCAGAGAGGCCTCTGGGGAATTAAAGTCCTGACCTCAGTCCCCAGTGAAACCCAACCGGAGCTGAGAGCACTCAGCACCTTGTCTGAGCAGGCCCCCAAATGCCTGGAGCTGCTGCAGAAACGCTAGCAGGGGGCTTGCAATATGCGGATAACGAGGGAAGAATCCTGCTCGTTGGAGAACTGCAGGAGAGTCTGTTACCTTGATAAAGCTGAACTGGTGAGTGTGCCAGGTTTCTGCTGACAGGGGATAGGTATCATAGAGGATGCCTGTCCAGGGAAACCGAGGGAAATAATGCATTAGCTGCAAGATATGCTGTAGCACAGACTGGGATCGTTTAGTTGGGCTAAGATTCCTCTTTGTAGCTGGCTGCTTGGCGTGTCTCCCCCCCTTAACACATGACATTTGAGTCCCATGCATTTGATAACACCAGTGTTGGCGATAGCTTCATCGTACCGACAGCAACGTGCTATCCTTCTGCCAAGCTTTGGGAGGCTGGGCTAAGCTGGCTAGCTGAATTTCATCTCTCCTGCTTCAGTGCGAGCTAATGAGGCAGCAGGGCCTAGCGGCCAGGGCACTGAGCTGGGAGTCAGGAGGCATCAGTTCTGTTCTTGGCTCTGCCACTGGCCTTGGGCAAGTCACCTCCCTTTTGTGTGCCTCAGTTTCCCCGCCAGGCTTCTGTCTTGTTGATTTAGACTGTAAGCCCTGTAGGGCAGAGATTGTCTCTCACCGTATGTGGGTACACCGCCTACCCCAATGGGGCTCTGGTGCTCTATCCACTAGGTCACACAGCCTCCCATGTAGCTAATGTGCAGCTCCTCCAGCAATGCATGGTACTTAATCTTAGGGCCTGAGTTTTTTCATAGTGCCTGAGCAAGGTCAGCTCCCATTGAATTGGATGGGAGTTTCAGGTGCTCAACACCCATGAAAATTAGGCCACCTGGTATATTTTCCTATGGGTGCGTGAACATTCTTACTCCTAGCATGACTAAATTCAGGTCCTGTTCAGACTGGGTTTACGTAGCACCCTTCTATCGAGTATATAGCTAGCGCCCCTGATTCATGCTCCATTTGAATCCCTCCATTGTCTAATGGCCACACCTGTCCTAGATTTCATAACATTTCAGGCCAGACCACGTGCCACTCTAAATCCTGCCCAGTAAACTCGGGCTTGCTGGCTCTGGCGTAGTTTGTCTTTCTCTGGGCCCCTGATCCATGGGTGTTGTGGAGGTCCTCACTGCCCAGCAGCCTCCTTCTCCACAACCCACCCCTGGGATTCCAATGATCTCTTTGGATTTTTATTTCAATCTGCTTCCCTTACCGTCAAAGTGTCCATCTGGCAGCGTCGGCGCCACGTCTTCCCACAGCCCCTTCAAGGGGACGACCTTCAGGCAAGACAAGGAGAAGTCACCAGATGGTATGGAGGCACAGATTCTGATCAATGATTGACCAAAGCGAGAATAAGAAACACCCAGGGAATGGGGCAGGAAGGAAGAGTTGGATCAATGTCCACTACATGCAGCATTAAAGTTGTTTTCCTCTTAACAAGCCCTGATTAAATATAAAAGTCCAGCTCCACAATGGGTGTACGTCAGTGGAGGGCGGTAGCTGCAACGGAGCGAAGCTGATCTGCACCAAGGATTTGGCGAGAGAGAGAGAGAGTGTGTGTCACAAGACCAGCATTTGCAACTTCTAACACACAGATATTGGGCCAAATCCCACCCTGGTGTAATTCAAGTCCATTTGCTGCAGTGTAAGTTACACTAGGGATGGATTTGGCCTAGTAAAAGTGGTGGGGGCAGGGGGGGGGAAGGGGAGAGTCCACAAGTCAAATTCAACCCCACTGGCATCTCGCTGGTCCTCACTGGAGTGGCATCCATGTAACCCAGGGTGCGGTGCCCATATGTGATAGATTAACTGAGGATCCTCTACCCCATCAAGGGGACGCTAATATATTGTGACCGATTTAAAAAACGGGTTTATGGTGCAAATTAATAAACAACTTGATACTAGTGAGTGTACAGCAACCGTGTGGGGCCAGCCTTTGCTTTACTGAGTGAGTTAATGTTTTGCTTAATGGAGTGGTTGTGTGTTGCTAAACTTTTCTTCTGCTTCCAAGTTATGAAAGTTTTGTTTTTTTTAACTCTGGTTCCAAAGATTTCCTCATTCAGCTCAGCCCTGGTCTACACTACGAGTTTAGGTCGAATTTAGCAGCGTTAGATCGATTTAACCCTGCACCCGTCCACATGACAAAGCCATGTTTGTCAACTTAAAGGACTCTTAAAATAGATTTCTGCACTCCTCCCCAACGAGGGGATTAGCACTGAAATCGACATCGCCGAGTCAAATTTGGGGTAGTGTAGACGCAATTCGATGGTATTGGCCTCCGGGAGCTATCCCAGAGTGCTCCGTTGTGTCCACTCTGGACAGCACTTTCAATTCAGATGTACTAACCAGGTACACAGGAAAAGCCCCAGGAATTTTTGAATTTCATTTCCTGTTTGGCCAGCATGGCAAGTTGATCAGCACAGTCCCAGAATCACAAAAGAGCTCCAGCATGGACCGAACGGGAGGTACTGGATCTGATCGCTGTATGGAGAGACGAATCCATCCTATCAAAACTCCGTTCCAAAAGACAAAATGCCAAAATATTTGCCAAAATCTCCAAGGGTATGATGGACAGAGGCTACAACAGGGACCCACAACAGTGCCATGTGAATATTAAGGATCTCAGGCAAGCCTACCAAAAAACCAAAGAGGCAAACAGCCACTCCAGGTCAGAGCCCCAGACATGCCGCTTCTATGATGAGTTGCATACTCCCTACCACTACCCCACCCCTGTCCGTGGACACCTGCAAGGGGGGAGTCTCATGCAACAGGGATGACGATTTTGGGGATGAGGAAGAGGAGGAGGACGATAGCGCACAGCAGGCAAGCGGAGAAACCGTTCTCCCCAACAGCCAGGAACTATTTATCATCCTGGAGCCAATACCCTCCCAAGGCGGGCTCCCGGACCAGGAAGCCGGAGAAGGCACCTCTGGGGTGAGTGTACCTTTGTAAATGTAATACATGGTTTAAAAGCAAGCGTGTTTAATGATTAATTTGCCCTGAAGACTTGGGATGCATTTGCGGCCAGTACAGCTACTGGAAAAGTCTGTTAACATGTCTGGGACTGGAGCGGAAATCCTCCAGGGACATCTCCATGAAGCTCTCCTGGAGGTACTCCCAAAGCCTTTGCAAAAGGTTTCTCGGGAGGGCAGCCTTATTCCGTCCTCCATAGTAGGACACTTTACCATGCCAGGCCAGTAGCACGTAGTCTGGAATCATTGCATAACAAAGCATGGCAGCGTATAGTCCCGGTGTTTGCTGGCATTCAAACAACATCCGTTCTTTATCTCTCTGTGTTCTCCTCAGGAGAGTGATCATCCCAGAGAATGGGGGGGGGAGGTTTAGTTGGGTTTGTGCTGCACGTTAACCCAAAAACCGCAGCCCCTCCTTTTAAATGGCCAACGCAACGGGTGCTTGGTATGGGAAAGGAGGGCACTGCTGTTTGAAACCATTCCCACTTGATATGAAGGCTGAAGAAGCCGAAAGACTGTGGCTTACCATGGCTGCCTGCAAGCCGAATTCCATTGCCTGGCCCTGCGTGTGTGATCTTTCGCACCAAACCAGCAGGCCCGCAATATAAGAGGCAAAATGCGACCTTGTACCGAAAGCACATGTGCTATGAAATGTTAACAGCTTGGTTCACCATGAAAGAGTCTACCCATTGTTCTCTAAAATGTGTCTTTTTAAATACTACTCTCCCTTTTTTTCCTCCCGCAGATGCAAATGTTTCAATGCTCCCCCATCATCTCTGTCCCAGAGGCTAGCGCAGATAAGAAGGCGAAAAAAACGCACTCGCGATGAAATGTTCTCTGAGCTCATGCAGTCCTCCCACAATGAAAGAGCTCAGCAGAATGCGTGGAGGCAAACAGTGTCAGAGTCCAGGAAAGCAGAAAGTGAACACGAGGACAGGAGGGACGAAGCGAGATGAGAGGTGGGGGGAGCAAGGTGAGAGGAGGCAGGATGCAATGCTGAGGCTACTGGGGGATCAAACTGATATGCTCCAGCATCTGGTGGAGCTGCAGGAAAGGCTGCAGGAGCACAGACCACCACTGCAGCCCCTGTGTAACCGCCCGCCCTCCTCCCCAAGTTCCATAGCTTCCTCACCCAGATGCCCAAGAACGTGGGGGGGAGGGCCTCCTGGGCACCCAACCACTCCACCCCAGAGGACTGCCCAAGCAACAGAAGGCTGGCATTCAATAAGTTTTGAAGTGCAGTGTGGCCTTGTCCTTCCCTCCTCCACCACCCAACTTGGTGCTTCCCTCCTCCCCCACCCCTCCCAGGCTACCTTGGCAGTTATCCCCCTGTTTCTGTGATGAATTAATAAAGAATGCATGATTTTGAAACAACAATGACTTTATTGCCTCTGCAAGTGATGATTGAAGGGGGGAGGGCGGTTGGCTTACGGGGAAGTAGAGTGAACCAAGGGGGCGGGTTTTCATCAAGGAGAAACAAACAGAATTGTCACACCATAGCCTGGCCAGTCATTAAACTGGGTTTTAAAGCTTCTCTGATGCCCTGGTGTCTGGCTGCGCATAATCAGTGGCCAGGCGATTTGCCTCAACCTCCCACCCCGCCATAAACGTCTCCCCCTTACTCTCACAGATACTGTGGAGTACACAGCAAGCAGCCAATGGGAATATTGGTTTCGCTGAGGTCTAACTGAGTCAGTAAACTGCGCCAGCAAGCTTTTAAACATCCAAATGCACATTCTACCACCATTCTGCACTTGCTCAGCCTATAGTCGAACAGCTCCTGACTACTGTCCAGGCTGCCTGTATATGGCTTCATGAGCCATGGCATTAAGGGGTAGGCTGGATCCCCAAGGATAACTATAGGCATTTCAATATCCCCAACAGTTATTTTCTGGTCTGGGAAGTAAATCCCTTCCTGCAGCTGTTCAAACAGACCAGAGTTCCTGAAGATGCGAGCTTGTTGATGTCTGTGAAACGTCCCTTGTGATCCACCAGTGCATTCTGTACCATTGAAAAATACTCCTTGCAGTTTACGTACTGGCTGCCAAAGTGGTCCAGTCCCAAGATAGGGATATGCATTCCGTCTATCACCGCGCCACAGTTAGGGAATCCCATTGCAGCAAAGCCATCCACTATGACCTGCGCATTTCCCAGAGTCACTACCCTTGACAGCAGCAGCTCAGTGATTGTGCTGGCTACTTGGATCACAGCAGCCCCTACAGTAGATTTGCCCACTCCAAATTGATTACCGACTGACCAGTAGCTGTCTGGCGTTGCAAGCTTCCAGAGGGCTATCGCCACTCGCTTGTGAACTGTAAGGGCTGCTCTCTTCTTGGTATTCTTGCACTTCAGGGCAGGGGAAAGCAAGTCACAAAGTTCCATGAAAGTGCCCTTAACGCACGCGAAAGTTTTGCAGCCACTGGGAATCATCCCAGACCTGCAACACTATGTGGTCCCACCAGTCTGTGCTTCTTTCCCAGGCCCAGAATTGGCATTCCACGGCATGAGCCTGCCCCATTGCCACCAGGATGTCCAAATTGACAGGACCCGTACTTTGAGAGAAGTCTGTGTCCATGTCCTCATCACTCTTGTCACCGCGCTACCGTTGCCTCCTTGCCTGCTTTTGCAGGTTCTGGTTCTGCACATACTGCAGGATAATGCTCGGGGTGCTTAGAATGCTCATAACTGCCACGGTGATCTGAGCGGGCTCCATGCTTGCTGTGGCATGGCGTCTGCAGGAGAGCAGAGTTGCAGCGGAAGCAGTGGCTGACGATGGATGCCATGAGAATAGATATTTATAGAGAACGACGAGAGGACCTGCAAGGTGGATTCAGGAGAGCAGAGTTGCAGCGGAAGCGGTGGAGGATGACAGCACCGCACACATTTCCCGAGGAAGAACACAGGTACCCAGGAGCCCATGACAGACAACACGGAGAAATTCGCTATTGAGAGAATAGCAGCAGAGCGGAGCTGCAGTGGAAGCGGTGGATGACGACGGTTAGCAGTCCTACTGCACTCTCTGCTGAAAGCAGTATGGCGTCCGCATGGAAAAAAGGCGCGAAACGATTGTCTGCTGTTGCTTTCACGGAGGGAGGGGCGACTGACGACATGTACCCAAAACCACCCGCGACAATGTTTTTGCCCCATCAGGCATTGGGAGCTTAACCCAGAATTCCAATGGGCGGCGGAGACTGCGGGAACTGTGGGATAGTTACCCACGGTGCACCGCTCCATAAGCCAATGCTAGCCATGGTAGTGAGGATGCACTCTGCTGACTTAATGTGCTTAGTGTGGACATACGCAATCAACTGTATAAAATCTATTTCTAAAAATCGACTTCTGTAATATCGACCTAATATCGTAGTGTAGACATACCCTCAGAGAAATCTAGAGGGTAAGAAATGGGCAGGAAGACTGGCCCAGTGGTTAGGGCACTGGGGAGCGACTTGCGATCTGGAGTCAATTCCTGGCTCCGACAGTCTTCCTATGTGACCTTGGGCAAACCACAATCTAGCTTATGCCTCGCCTCGCCTCCCCAGCTGTAAGATGAGGGTAATGCTTTGGGGAGTGGAGGACAAAATCCTTTACCAACTGCAAGGCGCTCGGAGCCTGGTGATAAGGGCTATATATGAACATAGCTACACAGCCAGAGATTGGGATAAGTCCCCGCATCCCAGGCCATATTGTAGCCCGTTGATAATCCCTGCTGAGCTCAGCTGTAGCTACAAAGGTGCACAGAGTCTGCAATGCATCCTTGTCTACAGCGAGCGGAGCTGCTCGTACCTTGTGTGGCTGTTTCTTGGCCCACTCCTGCAGCCTCTGGAAGACGCCCTCATTGCATTCTATGATCCAGTGCTCCTCAATGTCGAACTCTTCCAGTTTCGTGGCCGCAATGGCCATGCCAAACCCCACTTCCAGCACACGGCCACCTGGGGAAAGACAGGTCACAGCCTGGCTACCAATGTTCTGTAGGCACGCTCGAGAGTTAAATGACAGCTGTCTTGATCGCAGGATACAAGGCAGCTGGTCCCTTAGTCTTCTGTGCTCAGATACGAACGTGGGAGGAACTGGCTGGGGCAATATAGAGCCTTTCACCTATAGGTCACTGGTGCGGGTCCAAGCCAGGCTGCTAGTGACCAGCAGTCATTGCTGTCTGAAGGCTTTTTGGTCTTGATGTCTGCCCCCACGCAGCTGGCTCTAGCTGGGTCTCCTCTCTCTGCAGTCTCAGCAACGTGACCAAGGATTGGATGGGCCATGGAGACTGAAAATCACTCTTATTTCTTAAAATCACTCCTGATCATGCAAACACTTACCTGCAGGCTTAACCTTAAACATGTGACAATCCCATTGATGTCAAGGGGGCTGCTCATGTGCTTGTATAAGTGCGTGTTCGGAATCAGAGCCTAACTGTTTGGGAGGATGCTTTGAAAATGTAGCCCTGGATAAGTCTGAAGTATTATTACACTATTCTGGCCGTAGTGCATTGGAATAACACTACATTGGCTGGAGCTGCACAAGACTCCATGTAATGTTTGAATCCATAGGGACAGAGGACTGCCAGACCTGAAGAAAAGCTCTGTGGAGCTCAAAAGCTTGTCTTTCACCAACAGAAGTTGGTCCAGTAAAAGATATTCCCTCCCCCACCTTGTCTCTCTCATATCCTGGCACAAACATGGCTACAGCAACACTGCAAAACAGACTGGATAAAAGCAGGGGTCAAACTCCTCTCTGACAGTGGCCATCACCAGGTGCTTCAAAAGAAGGGTCAGAAATTAACCTGCCCTTGGAGAACGTTTTTTCCTGACCCCCCATCAGAAAGAGGTGAGTTTATGCCCTAAAAGGGGTTATTGCCCTTCCAAACTTTGAGGATTTTTTTCTCCAAACCAATTTTAAAAACCTGTAATACCTTCATTACTTATATGAAATGTGGTTAGACCTTTTCCTAACAAAAGGAAACTACCTGATCCCTCTGGGCTGCTTCTCTGGTAACAATTCACTGCTTGTGGCACCTTAGAGACGAACCAATTTATTTGAGCATAAGCTTTCGTGAGCTACAGCTCACTTCATCGGATGCATACTGTGGAAACTGCAGAAGACATTATGCATCCGATGAAGTGAGCTGTAGCTCACGAAAGCTTATGCTCAAATAAATTGGTTAGTCTCTAAGGTGCCACAAGTACTCCTGTTCTTTTTGCGGATACAGACTAACACGGCTGTTACTCTGAAACCTAAAAATTCACTGCTTGTAGACATGCCACTAAAAATCTCCATGTGACATGTTTCAAGAGCTTTGGGCCTAAACCTTAGGGTACTGAAGTCCGTGTGAGTCTTTCTTTCCATTCATTATAATGGGCTTTGGATCAGACACTTTGTTTTTAAATGAAAGGTAAAGTGCAAAGATCAAGGAGATCACCTGAGCCTTCTGGTACTTTAGCCCCTCCTCCAATGCAGAACTGCAGACCTCCCCTCCCCCTCTCTTGCCCTAGGGATAAGTCTGCAGCTATTTGGAAACCCGTCTTCTATGACACAGAGCACAACTGTTTGACCCAGCTACTGTTACAGGGGTGCTATTCTTAACCCTGCTTCTCGTGGAGCATATGGATTTGCCTGGCATTTACAGTTCAAATGTGGATTGCATGACAGAGAAGAGTGAACTCCAAGGACAATGGACAGGAGGATATTTGTGCACTGTCGGAGTTCTCTTGACTTTAGACTGAAAAGCTTCAACAGGCCTGATCCCCCCTCCCCCCGCAATGTTACCCTCAAAGCTGTGCAGAAATCAAATACTTTAAAGGCATCTATGTAGAATGAAAGTCCAAAACTCTGCCGTCTCGATCCACCTGGGCAAGCCATGTTTAAAGTTTCCTTAGGGGACCTGAAGCACTGTTCTGACGTACTCAAAACACATAGCTTCCATTGCTCTTTCAATCAGGGAGCGAAACAATTCATAAAAAGCGGACAGTGACTCTGATATCTTAGCCACACAGCAGATAGTTGCCCGGGCGAGGACTTGGCCGGAAGGTTTAGAAAACACCAGGCTTTCGGCTCTATGCTGGGAGCTCAGCTCCTTATTCAACGCCAGTCTTCATACGGGGAGGAAATGCTTGTTACATTATCAATTCGTTTCAGGGTAGGGGCAAAGCCCAGCTCCTCTTGATAACTAGCGGGCAGCCTTTGACACTGGCCCCCGGGGCCGTGAGCAGGGCGAAGGGAGAATCAAGTGGAGCAAGACCCCGAAGCGCACGAAGGGCCCCCGCCGTGTCTGCAAACGGCTCCGCGTCCCCCCGCCTGAGCGCACCGCTGGCCCCCCGCCTATTGCTCGTCCCTGTTCTTCCCAAATGCGCAAACCCTTCGGGGCGCTTCCCTCGGCTGACAAGAAGCAGCCGCCCCGCTCAGGGCAGCGTCCCAGCGCGGGGAACGACAGCGCACCCTTCCCGATACCATCCCGCGGACCCCCCCGACGCCTGGCCGCTGCCACTACTCGCCCCCCACCTCCCTGCAAGGAGCTGGGACCTCACTCGCCTGTTACCTTTGGACGCTGCTACCGTCGCCAGAGAATGCATGTAAGGGGTCTCCCACCTCTCCATCACTGGTTTGCCCAAGATCTCCAAGTGGGTGTCCGTCTGATTGAAGCCAGCGTCTGCCCCCTTCCATGACGGCGTGCAGTTCTCTCCCGGGAGGAAGATAGGAGCAGCTGCGGAGGAGTTCATGGTGTTGCCAGTTCTCCCACCCGGGGGAGGAAAGTCCAGCAGGCTGGGGAGGAGAGGGAAAGGGAGCCCTCGTGATCTCTCTGGCTTTATATAGGCAAGCCAGAAAAGGCTGAGTGTGCAAAGAAGAGCAGAGGCTACTTCTGGATAAAAGGGATCCCTTCTCTGGGCCCTGGGTCCTGAGCATGCCCAGTACAAATTGGGAGAGGAGGAGGGCAGAGATGTGAACGAGGAGGGACATCTGCCGATGCCTTGGAGAAATGCATGGACACCGATTACCGGGCAGAGCGAGTGCAGGTTGCGAGGAGATGTGTAAACAGAGCACTTCCACTCCCTCTGTGGTCAGGGAAGGACGCACTCTTTCTCAAAAAGAAAAGGAGGACTTGTGGCACCTTAGAGATTAACCAATTTAGTTGAGCATGAGCTTTCGTGAGCTACAGCTCACTTCATCGGATGCATACCGTGGAAACTGCAGAAGACATTATATACACACAGAGACCATGAAACAATACCTCCTCCCACCCCACTGTCCTGCTGGTAATAGCTTATCTAAAGTGATCATCAAGATGGGCCATTTCCAGCACAAATCCAGGTTTTCTCACCCTCCGCCCCCCCCCCCCCCCCACACACAAACTCACTCTCCTGCTGGTAATAGCCCATTCAAAGTGACTCTCTTCGCAATGTGTATGATAATCAAGGTGGGCCATTTCCAGCACAAATCCAGGCTTTCTCACACACACACACACCCCCGGGAACACACACACGCACACAAACTCACTCTCCTGCTGGCAATAGCTCATCCAAACTGACCACTCTCCAAGTTTAAATTCAAGTTTAACCAGAACGTCTGGGGGGGGGGGGGTAGGAAAAAACAAGGGGAAATAGTCTACCTTGCATAATGACTTAGCCACTCCCAGTCTCTATTTAAGCCTAAATTAATAGTATCCAATTTGCAAATGAATTCCAATTCAGCAGTTTCTCGCTGGAGTCTGGATTTGAAGTTTTTTTGTTGTAAGATAGCGACCTTCATGTCTGTGATTGCGTGACCAGAGAGATTGAAGTGTTCTCCAACTGGTTTATGAATGTTATAATTCTTGACATCTGATTTGTGTCCATTTATTCTTTTACGTAGAGACTGTCCCGTTTGACCAATGTACATGGCAGAGGGGCATTGCTGGCACATGATGGCATATATCACATTGGTGGATGTGCAGGTGAACGAGCCTCTGATAGTGTGGCTGATGTGATTAGGCCCTGTGATGGTGTCCCCTGAATAGATATGTGGGCACAGTTGGCAACGGGCTTTGTTGCAAGGATAGGTTCCTGGGTTAGTGGTTCTGTTGTGTGGTATGTGGTTGTTGGTGAGTATTTGCTTCAGGTTGCGGGGCTGTCTGTAGGCAAGGACTGGCCTGTCTCCCAAGATTTGTGAGAGTGTTGGGTCATCCTTCAGGATAGGTTGTAGATCCTTAATAATGCGTTGGAGGGGTTTTAGTTGGGGGCTGAAGGTGACGGCTAGTGGCGTTCTGTTATTTTCTTTGTTAGGCCTGTCTTGTAGTAGGTGACTTCTGGGAACTCTTCTGGCTCTATCAATCTGTTTCTTCACTTCCGCAGGTGGGTATTGTAGTTGTAAGAAAGCTTGACAGAGATCTTATAGGTGTTTGTCTCTGTCTGAGGGGTTGGAGCAAATGCGGTTGTATCGCAGAGCTTGGCTGTAGACGATGGATCGTGTGGTGTGGTCAGGGTGAAAGCTGGAGGCATTCCGTCTGACACATGGAGCCAGCTTACACTACCTGCAACACAGGACATTGCCAAGGGGCAAGACAAGCTAAAGGAACAAGAGTATTAACGCCACACTGAAACCTGCAGCAAAATCCCTTCATGCATAAGAGTCTGAAGGTATCTTAAATGAGAGTCCCCTTCAAAAAAGAGGGAGATTTGGCTGGTGTGGAAAAGGGTGTGTGCGTGAGAGCTGACTGCTGGGCAATAGGCAGCTGAAATCAATGGCTCAAGAGCTAGGCTCATACTTACAGTTCCCCAAGGCAAGGAGAAGTCCTCAGCCACAACAGACATTTATCAACGGAATTCCTGTCCCACCACACTCCATCAGCCACCCCTAAAAGTGCAGCGTGGTTGGATGGCATATCCCTGCCCAGCACGTGGGCTTATTATCTGTACTCTACCCACCGGGATAAAAGCAATTCTCTTCTCTCGAAACAGATTGCACTGTTAGCCCAACCTTATGCCATGTGCATCACTTATGCGGTTGTCAGTTTTGTGCAAGCCATCTGCCTACAGAAATACCACACCAATCCCAAACTGGGGTGTGTCAGTGCATCAGTCTTTTTCTGTGAAATTTAATTCTCTTTGCCCAAGCCCCCGAGATAATAACTATCTCGCAAACACTTACGGATATGCTTAACTTTACTACTGTAAGTAGTCCCATCGACTTGGTAGTAAAGTGAATTCTATGAACAAGTCTTTGCAGGAGCAGGGCATAGGGGCATAGTTTTCATAAGTGCTGAGTACCCACAGCGTCCATTGAAATCAGCCGGAGTTTGGGGTACACAGCACTTCTGCAAATCAAACCCTTAAATATCCTTCTGGGATTTAGCTAAAGCCACTAGATGTCCCTGGTTCTCTATTATCAGGAGAGTGAGCAGGGCATCCACGCTGCTTGACTATTTCAATGGAGAGAAAGTTAGATTTCCAAAAGACAAACCAAAAAAAAACCACCTCACATGTGAGATTTTAAATGTTGCGTTGAAACCCACATAAGCAAAATCCTTCCTCCCAATAGGGTGAGGTTTTCAAATAAAAGTGCCTTAGACTTAATCCAAAATGAGGATGTTTTCCTCCTGAAGAACTTTCCTCCCGAAGGCGTGTGCCAGAATGATCAGACACCTGGGTCGAAATAAATCTGCAGAAATAAAACACCACTCCCAAACTGTGCAACGTGTGGGATTAAATTGCCTTTCCTGCCCTCTACAGTCTGTTAGCATGTGTAATCCCATGGGCAAATTAGTGATCGAAAGGGAAGAGGGGGTGTCATTTGATTCATAAAAATCTACAGAATCATAGTGCTCCCAGACTGCTAGGGGCCTAAGATACACAAGTGGTGTTATATATATAAAACAGTAAATAATACTAGTTGACAAGGGCTAGGTTTACTTCTGACATTGAAATAAAACCACTCACTGCCTGTTACAATATCATTGGCTTATGCTTGTCCCTTGTGCTACACACAAACACAAGCTATCCATGCACCTATAGATGCTGCACACATAGGTCTTGTATGGGCTTGTCTACACTTAAAACACGGCAGCTGCGTTGCTGTAGTGCTTCAGTGAAGACACGACCTATGCGACGGGAGGAGTTCTCCCATCGGCGTAGATAGGTCGATGGAAGAATTCTCCCATCACCCTAGCACTGTCTACACCAGGAGTTAGGTTGGTTTAACTGCATTGCTCAGGGATGTGGATTTTTCATACCCCCGAGCTATGTAGTTATACCAACCTAATTTCCTAGGGTAGACCAGGCCTAAGGCCTTGCCTACATTTCAAAGTTTTGCTGATTTAACTATGCTGGCTTAGTTAGGGCTGGTCTACACTGAAAACTTACATTGACATCACAACACCTCTCAGAGCTGTGGAAAATCCACATCCTGATCAAGTAATTAAGCCAATCTAGTCCCCAGTGTAGACAGCGTTAGGTCGGCTTAACTACAGTGACGGGAGAACCCCTCCCATCACTGTAGTGAGTGTCTATACTGAAGCATTGCAGTGGGGCAGCTGCTAAGTGCAGACTTAAAGCTTGGCTACACTTACATTTTATAGCGCTCTATCTTGCTGGCTCAGGGGTGTGAAAATCACCCCCCTGAGCGCAGCAAGTCAGAGCACTTTAAAGTGCTGGTGTAAACAGGCTCCCAGCGCTGAGAGCCAATCCCCTTGTGGAGGTGGATTACCAGGAGCGCTGGGAGAGCTCTCTCCTAGCGCTCGCGCGTGACCACACTCGCACTTCAAAGCGCTGCTGCAGAAGTGCTCCCGCGACAGCGCTTTGAAGTTTCCAGTGTAGCCATGCCCTTAGCCTCAAAGCAGCAAAAAAAACCATAGCGTAGATACAGTTATACCCGTATAAAAGTGCTTATCCCAGTATAACTGTATCTACAGTAGAGCTTTTATTGGCATAACTATGTTGGCAAAATATTATACCACTGACATAGTTCATAGATTCCACTGATGCTGGTAAAACTTTTTAAGGGTAATTCAGGCATAGGAAAAAGGTTGCTTTTTTCAATCACATTGGTTCAATGGAGTTAGCTAAACTCTGACGCTTAAGGCGATGTCTGCACTATAAAATTATGTCGCCCTAATTTACGTCAGCATACAGCCACTGCAGTTATTAAATCACTTGTGTGTGGGTGTGCATACTTGGCTCCTTGTGTCGGTGGTGTGCGTCCTCGCCAGGAGCGCTTATATCAATTGTACTGTGGGTGTGGAGCATTGTGGGACAGCTCCTGAAAGCCAGTAACAGTCAGTAAGCAACACAGAATCTACAGAGTAGCAGCTGTGTTAGTCTGTATTCCCAAAAAGAACAGGAGGACTTGTGGCACCTTAGAGACTAACCAATTTATTTGAGCATAAGCTTTCGTGGGCTACAGCTCACTTCATCGGAGGCTGACACTGCGTCAACCTAACTACGCTGACCGTGACTCTATGCCGCTTGGGAAGGTGGCATTACTAAATCAGCGTATAGAGGCACTTAACTTGGCGGGAGCCAAATTTAACTGAAGACACTTCCACAACTAGGTCAACATAAGGCTGCTTACATCAACCTAACCCTGTAGTGTAGACCAGGCCTAAAAAAGTAGAGTGTTTCCTAAGGCTTTTCTACACACAAAGTTGTACTGCTTTAACTATAGTGAAGGGGTAAAGTGGAATAACCCCGGGAGTGTGGCTACACCTATATTGGCATAAATGCGCTTATACAGATATAGCTTTTCCCTTACAGGACGGGGGATAAGCTGCATCGGTGTGAGGCACCATTATACCAGTGTAACTGTTCACACTAGGGGTTGTACTGGTATAACTATTTTGGTTAAAAATCGCATCCCTACGTGATGGTGATACCAGCACAAAAACTGTGTGGAGACCAGGCCCTAGTCTAGGCAAAGCCATAGGCACGCTCACACCTTAGTAAACACCCAAGGACACCACTGTCCCCCGTACACACCATGCTTTGCACACACTCTGACTGTGTCTACACTGCAAGTGCAGCACCGCAGCTATGGCACTGTGGTGTAGACGCTTCCTACGCCGTGAAGGGGCTTTTCCATTAATGTGGACTGATCTATTTTTATCTTTAAGCATAGCCCAGGCCTCACTTGCAAACAACTTCCCTGCCACCCTCCCATTCCCTTTCACACTCTAAATCTGATGCATTCGCTCCCATGCGGTGTGTCACGCACACGCTCCTTAGCGCCCATGCGGCCTCTCTTTCTCGCACGCACTGCCCTCTCGCTCCCTCCTGCCGGCTCGCATCCGCGGGGCCGCCCCACGTGTTAGCCAGCCCGCGCTGGACTACGTTTCCCGTGGTGCCCTGCGCCTGCCGCGCAGGCGCGCTACCCCTTTCCCCTCACCCGCCCGTTGGGCGCGGTCCCGGAGACCCCGTAGCGAGGCTAGGGTGCACGCGCAGCGGCGGTTGGCGGGCGGCGCTGAGGGGAAGAGGGGGCCGGAGCCGCCGTTGCGCAGCTCGGGAGGGAAGCGGAGCCCGTGACCTTCCGCTGCTGCCGCCGCCTGGGCCTGAGGGAGCCGGGCCCGGCCCGGAAGCTGCCTGGAGCCGCCGCCATGAACAACGTGGGAGGCGCCGACGAGATCGGGTGAGGGGGGGCGGCTGAGGGAGCGGGTGAGGGACTCCGGGGACGCCGAGCCGTTGGGGGGGGGGGAGGGAAGGGCGCTGGAGGGGTTCAGGGCGGGGGGAGCCCCCCCAGTGAAGGGGCTGAGACTGGGCAGTTCCGGGGAGCTGCGATATTCCCCCCTCCCCCCCGCGCTGCCCCGCCCCGCGGCCCCTGGCCACGAGCTGGCGGCTGACGCCATCCCGAGTCCTCGCGCATCTCATCGGGGGGGGGGGTTCCCCCCACGTGCCGCCCCCCCCCTCCCGCCGGCGCCGGTCCCGCGCCTGGCGGCTGCAGGTGCTTCGAGCCGGGGCCCAAGGTCACAGGGGCTCCCTGCGAGCTCTGAAGCGGAAGCCCTTGTTCCCTCCTCCGCGCCCTGACTCGAACCGTCCGCGGAGCCCCATTTCCACGGGCTCGGGAGCATCGCGTGTGTCTCGGGGCGGGGGGGGGGGGGAACCGCAGCCTCGTTGGGACCCCTGTGTCCGCGTGCTGGGCAGCCCAGCCGGTCCCAGCTGTGGGGTCAGCGCAGGCAGGCCACGGAGCGGGTATCAAGGGACCAGGGCAACTGCGGCAGCCCTGCACCTATCTTGGCCTCACCGTGAGGTAGCCGAGGAAGAAGGGAGATGCAAAATCTGCTGACAGTCTTGCCCCAGGGCAGGAGGAGTCCCTGTCTCATCAGGCTTTGCCCACATAGTTTTCCCCCGCTTGTGTCGGGAAGGGCCCACTGAAGGTGAACCATACATCTGACTGCGGGGCTGAAATCTCTGCCCCTCCAAGAAAGACTGGCAGGACAAAGACGGAAACGGAGAGTCTTTTTATCTTCCCTCTGCTTCCCTTCTAGAGACAGGAACCGTGTACTGTGTCTCTGTGCTCTTTTAAACTTCCCTTCCACTGACAGGCTTCCACAGATCAGTTTCACATTAGGAATCTTGAATGGCTGCTTAAAGGTCTTCGGTGGACTTTGGCTATTTTAAATAGATAATGCCATATTTGGCTCCTCGTGGATTTAAGAAAAGGAGTATTTGTGGCACCTTAGAGACTAACCAATTTATTTGAGCATAAGCTTTCGTGAGCTGCAGCTCACTTCATCGGATGTGATCACTCACTTCATAAGCTCACGAAAGCTCATGCTCAAATAAATTGGTTAGTCTCTTAAGGTGCCACAAGTACTCCTTTTCTTTTTGCGAATACAGACTAACATGGCTGTTACTCTGAAACCATGGATTTAAAATCGCATTTTATATAATTTTCCATACATTGCTCAAACATTTGCAATATTAAGAATCACAGGACAGTGTACGGGAGAATTGACAGAAAACTATAGAGTAGTTTTACACAACACTGGTTGCCAAGTGTTTTGTTGTAGTGAAATGTATCAACAGTTGACGGTGAATTTTTCCACCATGATAAACTGTTCATCCTTGTAAAAACTAAAATATACATAAAATCATAAACTAAAACCTTAGACTACATTGTCCAGAACTAGACTCATATAATGGTTCATCTATTGTGTCCCTCTGTGTTTAAGTTCTGAACGATCTCAGAAGTACAAGAGATTTAATAGTACTGAATGTCTTGAAAATAACTTGTCTCAGTGAATGGCGTTTGTCCCTTGGGTTATGTTTATGGCATTTTCCTGTTCTGGAAGTATTATTTTTGTGTCCTGAGCCCCAATTACTGTTGAAACTAATTTATGAAATGCCCTCCCATGGGAGGGCATTAACAGCTGCATTTCTCGAAGAGACTAATTCGTTGCTCTGGAGTAACATGTTTAAAACCGGCTTATAAATACTGGACAGAATATTATGCTAACTCACATTCTGGACAATGAGCTTGTTGTGGATTGCAAATTGCTCATAATTTCACTCCCTACGTTTATATTTAGGTGTGGAAGGATCCGGTTTTAGTTCGTAAAAAACATAGTCATTAATTTATTCATCCACTCAAAAATACTTAGAAGAGAAAGGTGAAAAAAACAGGATATGTTACAGTTTTAGACAACTTACTATGGTATCAAGTCTGTTTGGCAGTCAACTAGAAATTAATCTTAAGAAATACAATTTTTATTTTGGAAGCTGTTATAAATCTTCTGTGGCTACCAAATTTACTTGAGTCTGAGTGTTTTACCTTCTAATGCAAAAATGTAAGTTGATGACATTTTTTTAAAAGTTGAGAAACAAAATATGTGGCGATAATTGAACTGTCAGCATTAACTTAAAAAAAGAACATTGCAAGCTTGTTGAAGTAATTTGTATAGTAGAACAAAAATATGAAAACTTTTTCCTATCAATTATGTGTTTCCAGCAGGGTAACTGCTAAAGTTGATATGTGATAATCACTCTGGAGAAACAGTTTGAAATATTTATGGTATTACAATATGTAAAATGTCCGGGTTTGCTGGACTCAAAACTTCCAATTTGAGAGATAATGTCTGAGAATGGAGTAGTAGTGTGCTTTTCCTGCCTTTTGATTATTCTGTCTGACATGGCTTTTATTTTCAGATCACTTTGTTGCTCCTTGTGTCTTGAGATTTATTACTTTAGCTACCTATACTTCATGCTTATTGCCAAATATTACAGTTCTGACATTCATGGAAGCCTGGCAAACTCATATAATAAAATAAGTCTTTGATTAGTTCACTGTCTTCCCGCTGTATTGAGAAATAGGGTGATGGTAATGAAGGGAGGGGAATTTGTGCCATACAGCACATGGAATTTTAGTTTTGTAAATTTGGGATTTGTGGTTGAAAATATTTAATACCTGAGTATATATAGTCTCATACTGCTGTGAGCCCCTAAGACTCGTGTTCTCTTGATTACTGGTGAAACCTGCTTCTGTTATTTCATACCATATCGGTTATGATCGCCTATGTAATTGAAGGGAAAACCTACATGAGATTCCAAGGTGTATCACCTAGGTGGATGATACATTATACACACAAGGGCTGTAATACCTTGCACTAGCTGGGACAGATAGAGATTTTGTGGATACTATTCACTGCAGTTACTGCTGAGAGTCAAAGAAAATGGTGCACTCCTGGAGGACTCTGTAGTCTACTGAAAACAGCTGACGTATTTATCAGCTAGGATATTAATTAGAGATTTAGTTTAATAAGAGTCTTTCTGTTATAGTTAATTCAAAACTTTCACATAGTTGAAAGTTTCAATTGTTGTGTAATATTTCTAGACAGAGTTCACACATTGACTCCAGAGGTGGGATGGAGCTGCTTTGCATGTCATTTATTCCTCCTCCACTTGTAGTGTCCCATGCAAACTACTCTGGGATGAAATGAAGCATGCAAAACTTCAGAACCATCAGCTTTGTCTGAGAGAAGTTAACTTCAACTGTACTATGGGTTGATCAGAGCAGCTACATAATGTAAATTGTTATATATAGCTTTGTGAAAACATTGATTTGTGTGTGAGAGAGAGAGAGAGAAGTACACTTGCACAATACTTGAACTGATGGCAAGAGTTTACTGACTACCTGTCCTTAAGTGTTCGTACAAGCAAAACTGTAAATGGCCAAGCCTCAGCTTGTGTAATAAGACTCATGAGAACAGGTTGATGATGGTATAAGCTAAATGTTGCAAGATGAGCAATCCTCTTGCACTGTCCTTAAATATTTCGCTTCTGTCAGCTTTCTTTTATATTGTGCCTATATCCTTGTTTTAGGCAGGTGGGTTGGTTAAATAGGGTTTACTTTTGCTCAGTATATTAGAATCCATCCATCACAGAGCCGAAGGCTAAGATTGTCTTGGCTTTTGCCATTCTATAGTATGCATATAAATAGAAGTGCTCTATTTACATACAGCTGCTGCAGTTGACCTTAGACAACCCTTCTTTTTTGTCTGTGAGGTGGCTTGAAATAATTTATAACAGAGCTGGAAGGTTTCAGTGGTCATTATCGAGAAGGGGAGCTCCCTGCAGTCAAACAACTAGATGGTCTGTCAGAAACCCACAGATGGTATATTTTTTTTATATTTGATAACCTGGCATAGACTAGTTGTATGTGGCTGATGAAGAGCATATTGCTAATCCAGAGTCCTAGGTTTAAAACAAAAGCTAAAATCGTTGCCTTTTTTATTTATAGTGAAATTTAATTGTGAATATTTTGTTATACACAAAACTACCTTATTTATTTAAAAAAAAAATTCTTGTGTTGTTCCTGTTAGGCAGTATTACAAACTTTCTTTTCACAGAATAGGTACAGCATAGGAAAGAGCAGTGAAAGCCATTGTGTGTCTTTCTCTTTTGTATGCATCCGATGAAGTGAGCTGTAGCTCACGAAAGCTTATGCTCAGATAAATTGGTTAGTCTCTAAGGTGCCACAAGTACTCCTTTTCTTTTTGCGAATACAGACTAACACGGCTGTTACTCTGAAACCTTTCTCTTTTGTGGGGACCAGATCTAAGGAAGAGTGCAGTTCTCATCTTGGCCACTTCGGTGAGACTGCTACCAGAACTGTTTTTGTATCTGCCTATGGACAGTTGGATGGAAAGAAATTTTCTTCGCTCAGATAACCAAATAGACCATCTGGTGGTAGACTTGTTAAAACCAAAAAATGACATGTTACTCAAAACTGTTGTCCACAATGTGTGGGTTCCTTTGAACTGATGCTGCAAACACTTCAATGGCTAGAGACAGGACAAAATCATTTTTAGCACCATTATGGAAAACATTCTTGACATGTAAGCCTTGTTTAATAGTATCTTCCAGGAAATCTCCCACTGTTGCACACTACTCTTGGTGCAGCTTCACTGGTGGTAACAAATGATGAGCGTGCCCAGGCATTTTTGGTTTTGTATCATTTAGACCAGCTTTCAGCAGGGTTGGGTTATATGGCAGTTAAAACACTGAAGCCCTGTATACACTGGTATCATTAGTGAGGATATGCTAATGATCATTCCTCCAAAACAATTTAAGTGTGGACATAGTCAGTGTTTCTGTACGAGTGCTGAAAATTGTCCTTTGTACGCTGATAGTCATTTTCTGGACTGGTTCATGTGAACCGACTGAACTGTTCTCAGCAGCAAATCAGTTTTCTAGTGCAGTTAAGGCTTATGTTATTGCTGAGTTGGTCTGTCTATGAACCAGTGACTTAGAGGTGAAATCCCTGATCCAACTAGGCAAATTTTAAAATACCGTATAAGTAGATTAAAATTTGTACAATATGTTCATTATTTTTAGACTCTGGAAACCTAAATTCTTAAAGTATATTTATTTTCTGTCATTTGCTGAGCAGCTGAGGTAAGCTTGAGATGTCTTGGAGCAAGCTGGTGTAAAGTGTGTTTAAAAAAAAAAAACAATTCAAGAAAAATTAAAATTACAGCTCCTGGAATCAAATTTTAGCTCCTGAGGCTTGACTGCAGCCATTTTCTAAACTGCCATACCTCCCTGGAGCTCCTAGCTCAAGTGAACAGGTGAAGTCTATGCTACTATTACTAATCTTCTGTACAGCAGAATTATCCAAAATTCCTGTTGTTTAATTACTACTGCACCCACAGCTCTGTAAATTAGCTCCTGCTGAGCTGACTGGTGCCTTATGGCAGCCATTGTTAGGGAGTAGCTGGAGTAGCTATTTGTTTAATAGAGCCAGTTTCTTCTGCATAAAGCAGGTGAGAGGAAGTTGCAACATTTTCTCATAGGGTAAAGTAGCTCTTTTTTTTTTTTAAATCTATGGGCTGAGAATGGGAAAAATACAAATGAAACTTTCTCCTCTCATGGGGAGACACTTTTTTCTGACTTCAGCTGAGCTATGGCCATACGCTGCACTATAGCAAAGTGGAAAACAAAAACAATAGACGGTTTCCTCTTTTCTCTGGAGAAAGATCAGGAAAAACAGGACATTTTCTTATGAAGTAGACAGCCCTGTCATATTAGTGTAAACTCAGTTACTTACTAAAATATAACAGGTGGACCTTTAATTAAGATGCTGCTTTTGAGTAAGAGGGCCAAATGTTGGGATGGCCTTAAGTTAGCTTTTAATTATGGGATGCACTTTTTGTATATGTAGGGTTTTTTAAAATGCTAAAATTGATATGCATGTGCATACAGTTGCAAATCAAGTAGTCCAGCATCTGTGCACAGATAAAAATTTTGGGGCATGCTGTAACATGGAGAACTTGTGGGTACAGATTTAGATGCTGTTTCTAAAAACTTGCCCTTGACCCAGATTTCTGCTACATTTTAGTTTAAGAATTGATTTTGTTATTTAAAGAAATGACCATTTTTTATAGTCAGTGTTTTGGTCCATAACTTCTTGATATACAACAGGCATGAGACTGTCCTCACTTGTTACTTTTAAACTGAATCATAAGGTGACATTGTAGGTATGGTTTCACAGTTCAGAATTAAGGAGTTGTCTGGTGGTTGGTCTCAAACCTGGAAGTCAGTACTCCAAGGTTCATTTTCTAATTCTGTGTCTGACTTTCATGACTGTGGCTGGGTCACTTCTGTTTCACATTTTTCAAATGGGTAAACTGAATAATAACTTCTAAACACCTTGATAAACTCAGATGAAAGGCATTGTATGAATACATATGTCACTGTCACACCTCTTGTCTTTGTAACAAAAGCACAAATTCTGACCAGCCAGCATACCTAAGCAATGCATTTTGATTGGTTTTCAAAGCTACCTATTATGACAATTTTACTAAAACTAAATACCATATTTTGGTATTCCAGATGTTCAGTGACCGACTGTGTTCTGTTTTTAAAGGGGGGGAGCACGCAATTTTATGTTTGCCATTCGGTTTCAACAGCAGCAATGTTATTTTTCATAAGAGTTAGTTCAAATGGGCTTGTCGTCTTTACCTAGTGCCCGAAGGTTCCTAGGAAATGCCTTCTTACTACATCCCAGTCTTCTTTGAATGTCACATTTAATATAAACTTATTTCTGGAAACTAAAATAATTTAAGAATTTACTAATGAGTCTGAGAGTCATTAATTTCAAGTAATGTTGTTTTTTTAAAAAAACCGTCATATCTAATGTAGGATCAAACAAAACATGATGTGCTGACTGCAGAGCAAAGTTTACAGAATTACTAGACTATGTATTTTCCTTGTGGGAAAGGCCTTGGGCATTCTGTTCTATTGCCATGAAGCAGAAATCTTTGCTATTAATTTTATGTGGAAGGTGCTCAGATACTATGGTAATGGGTAGCAGTATGTAAAGATAGTTTTATTCTATGATAAAAGCTTGTTAGGAGAAGACTCTTTTCAGATAGAACCAAATTAGCATAAATTTCCACTTTTATTTGGTATCTTGCGTGTCTTCTTCAAGCAGAGAGACTACCATACAAAAATGGTGCAGTCTGCAATCTTAGACTGCAAATCATTAATTTTGTGTTTCAGAAATTAGCTACAGAAGTATCTTTTTGTAGACTGACTGTCAGGACTTTGTAACTAGCGGAGCCTAACTGCTGTTTAGTTTTCACTGCAGTTAACAGACAACTTGACAGGGATGCTGTTAGGTTAGATTTTCCCTAGAATGATGTACTTATTGTGAAAATGAGCTTTCAGAGACCTAAAGACCAAACATTAGAAATGTTTCCCTGTTTTTTGAGCCACTACACATTTAAAAACTAAACTTTCCCCTGCAGTTTTTAACCTGAACTTTGTAGTTACTTTTCCTTTCACTTATTGACTAGAATCTGATGGTAACCAAAAATGAATCAGACTAGCCTTCCAAGATAAGTGAAGTAGCAACATATAAGTAGCAAATAATCACTTTTAATGTTTTGATGGCTATGTAAGAATTTCTTTTTATGGATTTTTGGGTCTGACTTTCTCTTTCTGATTTTTGGGAAACCAAAGACAAGTGGGTGTAACTCACCTAAAGAACCAATTCCAGCTTACTGATTTGAGAGTAGGGGGAATTCAAATGTTCTCTAAGTTTATAGTTAGGTCAAAGGGAAAGCTGTATACAGAAGTTCCAGGTGATTAGAATTAATGATGGCTGAATTTTTCATTATTGTGTTTAGTTCAACATGCTTTAAAGTGAAGCATGTATCTTTGGTAAACATGATTCCCATTGGGCTTTTACCATATGGCATACAAGAAATTTGCTATATCATTTCCCTGTGTGTACACATTTTATTGCTTGACATTTGGAAGTTGGTACAAGATAACTTTAGTAATTGAGGTGGAGTAAATTTTCATACCCCAGTAGTTTTAAAGATAATCTCTTGAAGGAAAGGTAAAGTGACATACATTAGAGAACTTGGGAAATCTGCTATAACGTTTATTCTTACAAAGGGGATACAGGGACTGCAGTATTTTCAGTGTTTACATATCCCGTTGGTTACTCTACAGTTATTAAAATCATCTGTTATCTAGTTGGGTGGTTGTTTATCGTTCTTAACAATTTTGTATGTTTCATTCAACATTCAGTGTTTAATGGGTTTATTAAAACAGTCACACTAATGTTCTCTGAGCTTATTCTCAGAGGGTCCATGCAAGACCCTACGCACTACTTCAGACCCTTAACTCGGGAATAAAATGGTGAATAGATCCTTGATCATACTGTCTGAACTGAGATTTTCACAACATGAACAACACCGCTTGGCCCCAAAGAGTAGATAAGTAAAGATATTTGATGTCGTCTTTCTTCTGGATATTTTAGTGCTAGACATCTGTTTTCTTTTATTTCATGTTGAAGCTATTGATGTTTGATTTACCTTCTGCTTTTCTAGCACATTTCATATCTGCTATTTCAAATGAGAATAAATATATTCATGGTATAAATGTGCAATCCTATACCTGTGGGGTGCAGAAGAAGTAATACTTCAGTGTTTTTAAATCTTTTCCTTTACTCATAGTATGTAACATAGCTGAAGATAATCTTGAAATAAAAGTGGAAACTTAAAAGCAAAGGAGAAATTCATCTTCAGTGAGTAACAGGCTTTGAATTCTTCAAGCTATGCTAAAATACTACATTAGCTAGATGAAAGCACAAACAGGTTGTGTATGTTATTACTTAAAATAATGCATGTTGTTTGATTCAGACCTCATACTAAACCACAATATGTTGTTTGAATTACAGAAAGTTGTTTGTGGGTGGCCTAGACTGGAGTACAACACAAGGTAAGTTATGTATTCTACAACCATTATACCAAAACATTACAAAGGACAAAACTTTATACCTCATACTTTCTTATAAAGTAATATAGTAGTAAAATCTCTGGAAAATTCAAATGAGTCTTTACTACTAATCTTCAATTTTGTTGCTTTTTAATGAATGATGGTAATAGAATTCCTGTAAAGAAACTTTAAATTTAAGTTTCTCTCCTGATTGTGGTGTTCATCTTTACATTGTGTCACTTTCATATCTCCTGGACAAGGATATGGAGAAATTTTATATTCCCTGGTTATGTTGGTTGGTATTTGGAAAAGTTGGTTTTGACACCCCTTAAAGTGCTGACTCAGAAATAGCAGATCTCTGTTATGAAAACTAATTTACTGCACTATTTTCTTCCATCTGCCTGAGTGGAATTAAAACAATGAGCACCTTTGGTTTTCAGATACATGGCTAGTATATCCTCTTTAAATGGTACAAATCATCAGGTGCCAGGTTTTAGCAAGTGCATATTAGAAGATTTAGACATATCAGTTTTACAAAAAGTTATACTCTTTAATTGCTGGTTCTGCTTAATACCATATTTTTTTTAACAGAAACTCTCCGTAGCTACTTTTCCCAGTATGGAGAAGTTGTAGACTGCGTAATAATGAAAGATAAAACAACAAACCAATCTCGAGGGTTTGGATTTGTCAAATTTAAAGATCCCAACTGTGTGGGAACAGTACTGGCTAGCAGACCACATACATTGGATGGTCGAAATGTAAGTTTACCTTTCACTTTGGTTTTAACTATTTAGACTATGACTAGGTCTTTAATATTTTTTTAAAATCAGTGAATGTAGAAGTAATTTGGGTGGTGGTTGACATATGAATAATTCAAGCTATGTTTAATATAGTTCTTTCTGAAATGTGTAATCTGGGGGTAACTTTTATCAGAAGTGTTAAGTTTAGAGAGTGGCATCCACAGCTGCTTTGAATTCATTTATTAGAGCAAAATATTCTGCACACTCGGAACTGACCAATTTGGAACTTGTTACAGATTGATCCAAAGCCATGTACGCCTCGGGGAATGCAACCAGAAAGAACACGGCCAAAGGAGGGATGGGTAAGGAAAGATCCTTAAAGTATACTGATAGATATATTCTAAGGTCTTTCTGGCTAGCGGCCTGTGCTCTTCACCCCATACACATCATGAATATCATGTTGGTATTTCTCGCAGTTCCTGATCATCTTACATACATTTTAGAAAGCTCTTTAGCCTGCTTGGAACTGAGAGAGAAATGCAGAAGTATTGGTGTAAAACACAGTAAGCAGTTGGTATTAAGGCCAGATATTGTCTTAATTAAATTAAAGCTGACTACATTTTATATTCTGGTGTGTGAAGGAGCTTACATTGATACATGCTGCTTCAACAGAATTTTTAGTTCTAACAGCCAAGTGGTTTTTTCCTAGGGGTGCAGCTCTCGTTGGAGTTGTTGGTTATGCTACTAGGTCTTTTGTTCAAAGATTCTTGCCGTTTTAACTGACATTGTGACATACCTACTGATTGCTTCTAGATGTACAACAAGCCAGAGTGTGGGAATCAACGAAATACCTTTGACAAGAAGCAAGTATGATTGAATGTGGGTAATGGTGGTCTGTGACTATGCAAGGATAAATAGAGTAGAAGTTAAATTGTATGCTTTTGTGAAATTTCAAACAGGCTAAATCTGAATAAGCTCTTATGTCTGATTTACAAGAGTCAAACAAAGTTCAAGAATTTCATCAACACTTGTATTTTGGGTTTTGGGGGGGGGGCGGGAGAGGTAGGGGGATGAATTACGGTAATTAAAAACTTATTTATGTTACTTATACTGTGGTAGCATCAGGTATTGTACCATAGCTTAACCTCCACCGCCATCTTTTTGGGGAAGAAAACTGGATTGTTGCTCTGTTCAAAGTTCTGCTATATTTTGAACACATTTTTTTCTGAAATATATTTATTTTACTTGTTTAATTTTAGTACTGTTCTGTCTCCTGTTTGTGTGTGGTGGTGGTGGTGTTGGTTTTTTTTAATCTAACTGGTAAAGTAGCTGTTTAGCATCTACTTTTTTACCTGTTGTTTGGATAGTGTAACTTCTAAAATCTATGAGTGAGCATGCAAAGCACAAAATGAGGATGAAATCTTTGCAGTTATAGGCAAAAGGTTTTTGACTGACCTTTTTTAATCAACTGATGTCCCTTTCAGTCTTCCTTTATGGTTAGGTCTACAAATTGAGCTCTGTTTCAGAGGGGTAGCCGTGTTAGTCTGTATCAGCAAAGACAACAAGGAGTCCTTGTGGCACCTTAGACACTAACATTTATTTTGGCATAAGCTTTTGTGGGCTAAAACCCACTTTTATCAGGTGCATGAAGTGAAAAATACAGTAGGCAGGTATATATATTACAGCACATGAAAAGATGGGAGTTGCCTTACCAAGTTGGAGAGTCAGTGCTAATGAGGCCAATTCAATCAAGGTGGATGTCACCCATTCCCAACAGTTGACAAGAAGGTGTGAGTATCAACAGAGGGGAAATTACTTTTTGTAGTGACCCAGCCACTCCCAGTCTTTATTCAGGCCTAATTTGATGGTGTCATGTTTGAAAATTAATTCCAGTTCTGCAGTTTCTCGTTGAAGTCTGTTTTTGAAGTTTTTTTGTTGAAGAATGGCCACTTTTAAGTCTGTTATTGAGTGTCCAGGGAGATTGAAGTGCTCTCCTACTGGTTTTTGAATGTTACAATTCTTGATGTTTGGTTTGTGTTAATTTATTCTTTTGTGTAGAGACTGTCTGGTTTGGCCAGTGTACATGGCAGAGGGGCATTTCTAGCACATATCACATTGGTAGATGTGCAGGTGAATGAGTCCCTGATGGTGTGGCTAATGTGGTTAGGTCCTATGACTGTGTCCCTTGAATAGATATGTAGACAAAGTTGGCAACAGGGTTTGTTGCAGGGATTGGTTCCTGGGTTAGTGTTTTTGATGTGTGGTGTGTAGTTGCTGGTGAGTATTTGCTTCAGGTTCGGGGGCTGTCTGTAAGCAAGGATTGGCCTGTCTCCCAAGTTCTGTGAGAGGGAGGGATAGTCCTTCAGGAGGTTGTAAATCCTTGATGATGCACTGGAGAGGTTTTACTTGGCGGCCGTAGGTGACGGTTAGTGGCTTTCTGTTACTTTCTTTGTTGGGCTTGTCCTGTAGTAGGTGACTTCTGGGTACCCTTCTGGCTCTGACAGTCTGTTTCTTCACTTCCCCAGGTGGGTATTGTAGTTTTAAGAACGCTTGATAGAGATCCTGTAGGTGTTTGTCTCTGCCTGAGGGACTGGAGCAAATGAGGTTGTATATTAGGGCTTGGCTGTAGACAATGGATCATGTGATGTGGTCTGGATGAAAGCTGGAGGCATGTAGGTAAGTTTAGCGGTCAGTAGGTTTCTGGTCTGGGGGGGGTGTTTGTGATTATTGCTTATTTGCACTGTAGTGTCCAGAAGGTAGATCTCTTGTGTGTACTGGTCCAGGCTGAGGTGAATGGTGGGGTGGAAATTGTTGAAATTCTGGTGGAATTCCTCAAGGGCCTCCTTCCCATGCGTCCAAATGATGAAGGCGTCATCAATGTAGCGCAAGTAGAGTAGGGGCGCTAGGGGACGAGAGCTGAGGAAGCGTTGTTCTAAGTGAGGCATAAAAATGTTGGCATACTGTGGGGCCATTCGGGTACCCATAGCAGTGCCGCTGACTTGAAGGTATAAATTGTCCCCAAATCTGAACTCTGTTTCTGAGGAACAGTAAATCCTGAACATGAATTGCTTGGTGTAAGCTTCATCTATCTACTTGGGGAATATGATGGGGATATATTATATTTAAAATGGCTGCGGGAATAGGTGCACTTGGGTAAAAGTTTCAGAAGGACTTAAATGACTTAGGAGCCTGCGTCCTTTTGACTTCCATTGAGATGTGGGCCCTAAGTGTGTCATCACCTTTTTAACACAACTTGTGGTTTTGAGTCACTTAGTCACTTCTGAAAATTTTATCCTGAGTGTCTATCCTGTAAGCAAATATACTGAAGTAGAAACTATCTGACTACAGTTTAGGGCTGATCAGTGTAAATTCTCTGCTACCCAATTTCCCCCCCAAAAGTATTGTTCTAATTACCCAGAATTGTAGAAATCCATGAAAAAGTTACTTTAATGAAGTCTGTTTTACTTGGACTCTTATCTTGATTTCCCAGAATAACATGTTTAGCCTTCCACTGGTTGTGAACCAAGTCCATCTGGCTTGTAAATTCATGGTTGCTGAAATTGAGTATAGAGTCAACTGTTGATAGGCCTCAACCTTTTCCAGGCTGTAAGTAGCTCTCACTTTAAAAAAAAAAAAAAAAAAAAAAAAGTGGCTTTAAGTAATCCGTGACTCTGATTCTTCGATAGCCACGGGAATGTTTAGATAGAGTACAGCCCAGGTCTACTACAGATGTTCCTCCACCTTTATTTGGGTGATTGACTAATCAACATTCAAGTTCTGCTAATGACATCAGTAATATTTTAATTACCCAACTTTTGTGGATTGAAAGAATGTAAATGATAGTGTCTAAAAATCCCCTTAAGGTTAAGAGGATGCACAACTCACAACCTGCTGGTTAATACTGCTTAATTAAGAAATTAATAAATAAATGCTTTCAGAACATTGCCCTCAGTTCTCATCCTTACCAAGAAAGAACACCAAGTTATAGCTAAGCATACCAAATTAATGAATCCAGAACAGGCTTTTGCTCCATTTGAAATAAAATGGGTGGCCTGCAAGTTTGGACTTCAATTTGAATTGTGACTTTTGTAGTCCTAGAATGCAAAATGGATTAGAGCAACCCACCTTCATGTACCAGTGGAGGAGATTATGCTACAGTGTTTATCACAGTTCTAACTAACAGTATTTTATTCCTCTTGATTTAGCAGAAAGGACCCAGAAGTGATAACAGTAAATCAAATAAAATTTTTGTTGGTGGGATCCCCCACAACTGTGGCGAGACTGAGCTCAGGGAATACTTCAAGAAATTCGGAGTGGTGAGTCATTCATCATCATGGCAAGCATCAGCTGGTTACAAGATGTTTTTTCCCCCTGTCTTCATTCTGATTTCATTAAGCTGTCAAATCTTAGTGTTAATTTAGGCAAACTGCCAAAGAGACATATTGACGTGTTTTGTGATAAAGTACAGTAAATGTTTACTTTTGCAGCACATTTGCTGTTTTTCATAAGATCTCTTGCCCTCATGTGCACAACTTGTCATGCACCTTCCCTTGCCTCCTTTGGTTTAGCTATTCCTGATACTATTTTCTCTCCCCCCTTCAAAGGGGGGGGGAACCCTCAAGTTTAATTGTGACTTATCACCCTCCTTTCAGCTGTTGTTCTAGTGTTCTGTAGTTTTATTATGAAAACTTTCCATTTGCTTTTGGAACAGCAGGTACTTCAGTGAATTTGCATCACCACAGGTCTCTGTCCTCTACCAAGTAAGCAAATTGGTGAAAGACTTTTTGGTGATCCACTTGACATTGTTTTGGTTTCATGATGCTGTTTTTTAGAAGTAACTGAATTCTTTCAGTCTTTAGAATCTCATTTCTAGGGTCAGACTACGAGTCATGCAGTTTCTTACTCATGCTTTTCTTGAAATTTTGCCAGCTTCAGTTTTAAGTTGATATAGAATGAAAATTTCCAGATATGACTTCATTAAACTCACATTTATTTCTACTTTTATTGTCAGATTTTTTCTGGAATAGGTAAATTGTTACAAGGTTCAAAGATTAGTTTGTATATTAAGTTCAATTTAAAATATTGTGGAGTAGTATACATTTTATATGACTGTTCATGTCAGTTGTATTGGTCATAATGTCAAAAGCAAAGAGATTCACAGTGGCTATTGATTGGTTGCTGTCACTCCAAAATGCTTTTGTCACCATCTTCACCTTTAAATCACCTATCTTTCTAAATTCCATCAGCAGTCCAAAGCATCTATGTAGCCATCTTTCTCAAGTGGTATAATGATGTTTTTCAATGAAAGTTGATTAAAACAATCTTTAAAAAAAAAAAAATTACCAACACCAATGGCTAATAGATGTTTCTTTAGTTTGAAAAGCTGCGACAGACTGAGTTTACAAATAAAAATGGGGAATGGAATCCATAGTTGTGGAGCATAATTTCTAAAGGCTCTTCTCGCAGACTTATGGCTTTCCAATTCTGATCTGGATGGCTTGGGAGATACAGGGTTAAGTTCCATCAGATATAGGAGGCCACAACCATTGAGTGTAAGTGCCATAAAAGTAAGTAGAACACTTTATAGTTAAAATAGAATTTGGGGAGCCAGGGTAGCATTCTTAAGACAGGTTTCAGAGTAACAGCCGTGTTACTCTGTATTCCCAAAAAGAAAAGGAGTACTTGTGGCACCTTAGAGACTGACCAGTTTATTTGAGCATAAGCTTTCGTGAGCTACAGCCCGATGAAGTGAGCTGTAGCTCACGAAAGCTTATGCTCAAATAAATTGGTTAGTCTCTAAGGTGCCACAAGTACTCCTTTTCTTTATTCTTAAGACAAGAATTGTGTGTGTAGTCATTTAAGTACCTGTAGAAATCTGGGATCCTGCATTCTGAGAAAAACACACTCAAGAGCACACAGAATTTCAGGTATAGCAGCCTGAAAAACTAGAAGCTAAGATACAACACAAAAAGGCAGGCTCTGATTCTAAGAGACCTATGGGGATTATTACTGACCAGTGTGGCAAGGAGGACTCCAAGCCAAAGCAGTATCGAACAGACCAGCAGAACAGATGTGTCAAAATAATATATGGCTTGCTGTCATGCTGCCAAATGGCCTACCAGCTCTAAATGATGACAAACCTGAGTCAGCAGAGTTCGATAATATACCTTCAAGTGAGTGTATCTTTTGTGGTGATCTCCAAAACATGACTGGAATCTTTCACAGAAGTTGGAGAGCAAGACAAATGGGTATCAGACTAATAGATTATTTCAGCTGCTTGAGATACAAATGTTCTAAGCTAAATTGAAAGTAATTTTTTAAGGCAGGGATGTAGTGATATAGGAATAGCCACAAGATTATGAAACTGGAAACTTTCTGGTTTATTTTTATATTTATCTTGAAAATGGCCAAATAAGCTGCCTTTAAAATTGGCATTAAAATAAATGGCACCCCTGGGGTTAGTCTCTGCAGATCACATTAATTGTGCAGTGAATTTTTATTCTGAAAAACCTGGAGGGGGTGATTAACATTGAAAATAATCAGCCCTAAAGCAGTACAGATGAACTCTGTTTAATACATGCATGTGCTCTGAACTAGTTTTACAGTATTTTGGAGACTCTGTATTTCAGAGTATTTCAAAATAAAACGGAGACATCCATTTCAGCTCCAGTAAGCTTGCATTGAAACTTGCACTTAAAACATGGCTGCTACTCTGAAACCTTTAATATTTTATGGAATTTAGTCTCAATACAAATTTTTCACAATAACTCTCGAGGGCCCAGTTGGCTTTTCTGTGTAATATTTACCAGTGTTTGCCAAGGAAGCATTTTTTGAACTTTTATCCTGTTTTCCTCCAGCTTAAATGATCATAGTTCTCAAAAACTTTCAGCTTCTCTGCATGTGTATGTGATAACATCTCAGACTTAACACCAGTTTTGTAATTTAGCATTATAATCACTTCCATATTTAAACAATTCACGTGTAGAACAATCATTAGCATTACCCACTGGCATAACTTTGCTTAAACATCACAGAAATGTCTTATCTCAGGGACACCACGCTCCAAGGAGAGGCATAAGCATGTGTGGAACTACATACAATACAATTCAGAAAAGCTACACAAATCCTATATTAGTCAGTAAAGTAGTTGGAATTAAGGTTGCCTCGTTCAGGATGAGGGTGGAAATGTGCATGTTGTGGAAGAAAGGTAGTTGAGACTGTGAAGTAGTACTGAAAAGGGGTGTTGAATGATTTAATTGTTTCCTTATTTTTATGGTCTGGTTGGTGGGATAAACAGTTTTGCAACCGTAACACCACTTTATCAATGTTTTTGGTGGGTAAATTTTGTTGCAGTCCTAAATAAGCAGCAATGTGGTTATACTTTAGCTGCTAGGAACAAATGAACTCAATTAGAATTTTCATAAATGGGAAGTGTTGCTCTTTACTGGAGTTTATTTGCATGTGCTGTGACAGACAAATATTGATGGCTACATCAGACATTTAATTGTGCTTTGTGGAATGAGTGCTGGAAACCAGCCTGTTCTTCTCTGCTTGTATCACTCCTCTGATAACATAGTTAGTAGAATTTCCCTTCTCTCTTCCAGGTCACTGAAGTTGTAATGATCTATGATGCGGAGAAACAGAGGCCCCGAGGTAAAGGCTGATCTAGTTTGTCCTTGAAATTTCTTCATCCTCTCCTGTAGTCAGATGGCAAACTATTTCACACCATCAAAAAACGTAGTGGTTTGGTTTTTTTTTTTTTTTTTTTTTTGGTTTTTTTACATTGCCTCAGGAAAAGATTTCAGTGGACAAATATCACAAATGTAGGCTTTTCATACACAGCTTCATTTGGTGTCTTTGTGTTTTTAAAGTCAGATGTTACATATTCATTTTTTGCTGGTTCTTTTTACTTGAATATGAACAGAATTAAACATCTGAACAAACATGTGGTTTTTAAAATAATATTGAAAACGTTCAGTTAACTAATTTGCCTCAGATTTCCCACCTCCCCTGTTTTAACATGAAGGTATGTTAAAGTCTACAGTTGCTTTGTATTCAGTTTTTTTCTTTGTGGTTCAAATTATCTCTAAACATGAGATTGGAATCAGATCCATCCATTTGTGCTTTTTGTTTTGGTTAAATGTCTTCACTTGAAATTCAAGGGAAAACAATTTTCTTAAATTACATAAATTACATGCCTTTGAGAAGTTGTTTATATGTTTGCAGGAACTATATGTCCCCATTCATGCTAGAATTATTATTTGTGTTCCTTAAGAAGGAAAGCAGTTAATAGGCTATATGAGCGAGTCTGTAACCTTTGGTCAAAATATGAAGTAATTTTCATGTCATCCACTTTTCATTGCATCAGTCATCTATTTGTTGACTATTACAGAGGCAATATTGTAAAAGTACATGAAGTTTAGTTGCACTGATCACCTTGTAGCATGTGAGACATGCTAGAGAATAGTTTGCCATCTGAACTTTCATTTCTCCTCTGACTCCATTATTAAGAACTATATTCACTTCATATTTATTAAGCTAAGTCAAGTCTTAGTTTTATTTTTAATTTAGACATACATCCTTAGTGGCATATTTAAGTGTTTCATAGTAAAGTACAGTAATGTTAAGTAAGTTTTTTTTTTTTTTTTTTTTTTTCCTTTTTCTCTCTGTGAATTGTTTAACTGTGATTAACGATATCTCTTTAGATTTCTTCTCTCTAGGTGATAATTTATCACAGAGGTACAGGCCAGTTCCACAGTCAGAGGAAGGGCGGGCTTTGTCTTTATTGGGGTGTAAACGAAGTTTCAATATATTTGTTTTGTTTTTGCCTTGATAATAGTCTTAATCCTCTTGCAACTGATCTGTTCTCCTTAAATAGAAAACAAATTCATCCATTCAGTAAATGCTGTAGAGCATCTTATTTTAAATAGAGGCGGCAGTGGAGACCAAAATAAACACCTGATTAAAACTTGCCTGGAGTTTTAAAACTGTCTTTTAGAAATTATTGCATCACCTGTATCTTTGAAATATTTATCCCAATCTTGCAACCTCTGAGCAAAAAGGACTAAAACATCACAGCTGGTTTGGATTAATGGCTCCACTGCTAAAGCTGCACTAAAAAATTGATAGAAGGCTCCCAATCCACTCACAATATTAAAGGGTAAAGCAGAACTTTAAGACATCTGGGATGAAAGCCTACAAGTCCATCCATTTGAGGGAGTAGTTGTACCCCACAATTCTCTTTGATTTGTCTAATTTTAAAAAATGACTGAAATCCCTCAGTCCTGTCACTGTCGAAGCTTGCTTTTGTGTTCTCCATTTCTGTATCCTCTTCATAACATAACTGCACACAGTTTCTAAACATGGCCTCCTTAATCCCACAGAAAATGTTAGAAAAATTTCCTCATGGTTTGTATTCAGTGCTGCTGTTTGTACATCCAAGAATATTTTTCTCCTGCTTGGTATTTTGTTATGTAAAATGCTATTGAGCTTATACTCTTCTTGTTCTTTTGACTTATTATCTTAAATTTCTATGCATTAAATTGCAGACGCCCACTTATCTGCCCAAATTCTTTTCTATCCATATTATTCTGAATTTTACCTTCCTCCTTTGACTTTAGTTGTTTCTCACTTTCTACAAATCCCTTAGTGCATGTCATTTTACCAAGTCACTGAGAGAGAAAGATCAAAATTGGCCCTGTTACTGTCCCCTATGGCAGTCTACTGCTACTTCCTCCATCTCAGACTGCTTACAACAAGAAAACTAGGGGCCAGATCCTCAGGTGATATAAATCATGGTTGCTGTGTTGACCTCTGAGACTCTGGCCCTGGGTCTTCAATACTCAAGTCCCCAGTCCTTCACTTTACACACAATCCTATCCTTTCCACATCCCATACCTACTCATGTTGTTGTGGTCTTTTGTGCAGTGCTTTATCAAGAACTTTTCTAAATTCCAAGTAAAGTAAAAGCATAGCCAACATTATTATTATTATTTATTATTGTTGTTGCTTCCTAAAAGAAATAATCTGCTTTGTTTGTTGTGATCTTTGTTTTCATGCTGTTTCATTAACTAAACCAACTACGTTTCAGTAGCTCACAGGTTCTTTCTGTGTGTGTTCAGTTTCTTCGCTCTAGCTGCAATCCAGCTTCACTGTTCTCTTTTCTTGAGTCCCCCTAGATCTCATCTTAAACACAATGTGTTAATCTGTCTAGTCCATCAGTAAACTTTTGCCTTTGAAAAAGTTAGAGCAAGTCTTCCAATAGCTATATTTATCGTTTTTTACTACATCCTCTTAAAATTTTGTGGCCGTTCCCATCTGCTCTGGAGTTCTGTCATCTGTAATCATTCTCATTTCTTAAATACTCTTTTTATGTTATGGTGTTTGGGTCTTTAAAAAATTGTCTGTTTGCCTGATACATGGCATCTGTCTACTGTCTTCGCCCAATTTTCTGTGAACAAACTTTAACAGACCATCTCAGTAGTTGGATGGGTATCATCTGTTTTTCCCTCATCTTTTGAGACGGAAAGCTATAATATTAAACTGATCTAATACTCAATGCAGACTTGAATGTGTCCTCTTTCTACTCCAGTGCTGGTGAGAATTCCAGTTAACTTCAGACAAATATATTGATGAAATGCTGCTTTCAGTTTTGAGGCTGCTTTCATCATAGACCAACAAAACTTCGTTTATACTGCCAGTCTCTTGTGTGTGGGAAATGCTAAAAGTTTTTTCCTTTTATTTTAATTTTATTTTAGTGATGTCTTTTGCTCTTGTTGCTGACAGCAGAATTTGACCTGCTGGAATCTATTTTGGCCTGTATCTTTGTGTATTTTATATATAAACCTTCTCTACAATAGGCCTCTTTGGGCTTACCCAACCCAGTTGGATAAGCTTAGAGAGACACTAACTGTTATAGATACTGTATTTCTGTTTAACGCTTTAGAGCAATATATGGCTGCTGTCAGCACTAGCTGCAAAGCAAAATGCAAACCAAGGGGGAAATCTTGGGTTTCAGAAAAGCAGAAATGCACCCATATTCCATATGCTTTTGATGCTGCACCTTGTTTTGTTTTTTTTTTCTTTCTAATTTTACTGCTGTACCCCTTAGCTAATTTAAAGAATGGCAAAACTGTTATATACTGCATGTGTTCTTACCTTTCCTGGGATTTGGTTATTCCACCAGCAGTGAGTGGTTGATGGCATGACTCAGCCTTAATGTTCTGTGAAATTAACCACTACTTTTCCACTCTCTAGGCAGTGTCAGCAGCTACAGCCTAAGCGAAGTGGTTCTCAAACTGTGACTGCAGAGAGTTCTCAGCTCACATGGTGCTGGTACCTTCTCCTTTCCAGCTGCTTCTATGGGCATTGGAACCTAGCTGCCTGTAAAAGCAGCTGGATGCTAGGAGGATCCAGTTGGATTGCTGCTATAGATGAGAGGAGGAAATTAGTTGCCCTTAGGAACACCAGAGAACCGGTGGTAGAGATGTGCAGGGAAAAAGGCTACTGGGGAACATATACTGAGATTGAAGAAGAAGGGAATCAGGCAGCAAGGAGAAGGGATAGCAACAAAACAGATTGGGCAGAGGGGAATTGACAAGCAAGAGACATGAGTGTTTTTTTGTTTTTTTTTAAAGGCAACACTGGTTAGCTTAAACAGCTAAATACTTCCTGTTTGCTGTGTAGGCAACTGCTATATTTGGCACAGGAGAGCTATGATTGGAAGGGGTAATGTCCATTAAGTGCTCTCTGTGTTAAGATATAAGAAGTTTGAGAATCTCTGACCTAGGCTGTTAATTTCTGAAGCTTATCATTCATCCATGGAATGGTAAAAATTCTCATGCTTTATCAACTACATTTCAAAAAAATTTTCTTTAAATTTGTACTGTTTTCTAAGAAAGTAAATAGCCCACACACAAACACAATTTTTTTTTTTGGGTGGGGGGGGAAGGGGGGGTTACTTTGCAGCATTAGTAACTGTGACAAGTGTAAGTTTTACCTGGGTTCCTAATCCTAGGATATATTTTGGTTCAAGGATAAGAGCAAAGCTGCCTTATTTTAACTTGCAGTTCCACAAACATTGTTTTTAGAAGTTGTGGTACAGTAACATTTAGGGTGTTGTAGTAGTGTTTATCTCTCCACCCATTTTAGTGGATGGATTAGATATAAGAAACTAAACATTGATTTTAATTGTTTCAGTTTGTAATGTTGCATGTATAAAACTAAGATGAGGCATTAATTGCCCGATAATTTATATATAAAGTACACACTACAGTTTTCTCAGAGGACTGATTTTTGAGAACTTCATAACACAAGCCTTGGTTATCTGAAGCCCCTGCTTGAACCCTTGGTCCGCCCCTAATACTGTTCATCATCCTGTTTTGTGTCACAACACCCTGCTACCTTGATTCACTCTTCGTCGTTGGCTAGGTTTTGGATTTATTACTTTCGAGGACGAACAATCAGTGGACCAGGCTGTCAACATGCATTTTCACGACATCATGGGCAAAAAAGTGTGTAGTTGTAGTTTTATTTTACCTTAAGACAAAACCAAGCCTTGGGCAATTGGCAATTTCACTGGTGAAATAGAATCAGTAATTTGTGGGTTAAGCAGGGAGATCCTAAAAAGTTAAAGAAAATCCAAATTCAGGGCTTTGTCCATGATGATGGGGAAAGTCCCTTGAGTTTGCATAAGACAATGGATATGAGGGGAACCTCTCCTTAACTTGCTGCCTATCCCATGAGAAGGAAACAGACCTTGAAGGCCTGAGTATTTATGCAAGTTATTTAAACAGTTCAGATGAGCCTTTGACCATTATACAAGTAGCAAACTGCTCCATTTGAGCAGAATTTGTATCTGAATAAATTGACTATATGAATAGTCATGGTTTATGCACTGCTACGTGACTGCTCACTATTTTCCTTTTCAGCAGCAGGGATAGAAGTTAGCTTTAATTCTCATATGTTTGTAAATTGAGATCCCAGTGAAATCTCTGAGCTGTCTAAGGCTCGGTTTAACATACCACTCCTTCAGATGTGCATTTAATATTCGAATTTTGAGGCACTTTGAGGGGATCTGCCTTTATACTCTTAAACTTTAACCCCCAAAAAAGACCATAAAACATCATGAAGGATTGGTTTTTTAAAAATTGGGTCACTTACTGTGAAACTTTGATACGAACCCACATATTCTATATAGTATTTAACCACAATGCAGTTAAGTGACCTCTGGTTGTTTCATCTTCATACTGTGTTGTCAGCACAAGGAGGTTTGATAGGTGAGGGATTCCGCCTTTCTACTCCTTTTGATTGTATTAATCAAATGTGAACATTAAGATTCACCTGTGGAAAATCTAGAAGTAGATGAATAAGTAGTTCCTGAGAGAAATTCCTAAATCTTAATTATATTGTGAATACCACAGCTTCTGAAAGGGAAATTCTGGTAAAATTGAAAATATTTCCGCTTTATACAGCTTAACCTGAATTTGAAAACACAGATGTTAGAAGGCCGTTGAAAATCTACAGTGAAAAGTACCCCAAAGAAACTTGCATCAAAACCAAAGGACTTTGTCATATTCCTTTAACTCAAACATTTTTCCATGTTGAATTTAAGATTTCTACAGCCTAGTAGCTCTCAGGCATTTCCTTAGCTGACAGGTAATGTGTTCTTGTGGGTTAGTGCAAAATTTGCATTGTTAAATTACAATGCTCTGTACAAAGTGCTTTAAAAAGTCACTGTTAAAGTTTAACTATTTAAAGCGTTACTACCCTATTTCGATACACTGAAACTATAGTCACATTGAGAAAAAGAATGGTTTACCAATTAATACAAATGAATTATCTACATGAACACACTTTTGACCCAAATCTTGGAAGGAGGAACGAACATAACTTTCTTACTGTGAGTAGTTGAATCAATGCAGCTATTTACATGAGTAAAGTTGTGTGTTTTCAGGATTGGCACATTTATTTTCTTATGTTATCCTCTGTGCATCTATTGCTTTTTCACTGATATTCCCTTAAACTTTGGAAGAACTACTTAAATTAGAGGACAGATTGCAAAGCAGTATGCCATTTATGAACAGAACCAAGGGATGCCACGGCTACTTTTTTATGGTTCTGTAAATCTGTGGCGAGCCTCCTGTAAATCTAAAACATGCACAAATATATGCAGTATTTTCCCAGGTTGCATGAAAGAAACCTAGGTAGTTCTTCCTCTTGTGTTTATAACTTTGGCCTTGAGCAGGTCTAGAATTCTCACCTTGATCCTAAAATTTGTTTGCATTAGGTTGTCCCAATCCCTAGTTTAGGCATCTTAACACATCCAAATGCCAGTGTACAGGTTAATTAAATCTGCCATTTAGATAAATGTAACATTAGATAGTCCACCCCCTTCATTTATTATTAATAGACGCTTCAAGACTTTGAAATACATTTTTAATTCTCAAAAAAGAATTGCTGAAGTGAATCTGCTTCCGTATGTTACTGAAAGAAAAAATTTAAAATTACGAGCAGGATTTTGCTTGTGTAAGCAGTAACCGAATTCCCTTCAGGAAAATGCGTTAAGGCTCATTAATTTGAATTCTTTGAGGAATTCCCTTGGTTCCTCTCTAGCAGGGCCTTCAGCTGACAGAGGTTTGGTTACTGTCATGTATAATGTCCTTGAGGCATCTTCAGAAGAAGGGGAGGGAGGCCTTTGTCCTTGTGCTGTGCCAATTTCCTGTTTGTTCTCTAACATGAATGGTTTTAAGACATAGCAGGAAGAATACTTTTATTTTCCGTACTACTCAGGCCCATTAGCGATTGAGGTTTATTTTCTTTGTACTCTGGCATCCACTAAAATTAATCGTAAAATAAAAAAATACTTTAATTCAGCATACATGAGTGCTGAGTGTTTCATTAAATCAGAAACTGGATTTTTTTGTTGAGAGGTTTATATTGAATGTTGAGCTTATTTGAAGTAGGTCAGATGCACTTGATGCCTGGGGCCCTAAGACATTTTATCTTTACATGAAATAAGTTAAGCACTGAGGCTTATTAACACTTTTAAAAACAGGAAGGTTTTTGTCACTGACTTAACACAGTATGAAGATTTGCTTCTTATTGACTCAACTGTCCATTTTTATTACTTGCATGTTTGTTTACTTTTTTGTTAGATGTAATGTAAGATTCTCTTATCACATCCATTCCCTCTGACATTGTTTGAGTTATTTGAGATTCTTTAAGCGTTAGCCTGGGGAAGGTAAGTCTTTATCTTCCATTAGACATTTAAATAAAACCTAAGTAAAAAACCAAACAAACGAATGTGTGTTTCTCAGGTATGAACAGAGCTGAAATTGCAGGTAGATGGGGTGGGTTTAAACTATAACTTCCAAATGAACCCCAATCATCCATAAATGTTAAAGCATTAGTACCCTTTTTCAGAGTGGACTCTTTGCTTGTAGAAAGATCTTTACTAAAATTGTTTTCTTCTTTGTAAATGTCACAGTGAACATTTAAAAAATAGTCTAAAGACTAAGTTAAAAAGATTGTGCCTATAAATTTTTAGCAAAGAGCCATTGTAAGAGGGTACTGCTGCTTTAAGATGAGCAAGCAAATGACTACTTAATATAATGGAACAGAAATTGTTTGTAGGACATGTTTTGCTTTAAATATATGTTGATATAGGACTTGTAATGTCTTACTATCGCATCTATTGTACCTGAGAAACATTTTTTAATTACTGGCCTAACTAGTTTTATAATTAAGTATTTAGACATAAGTCATAAGGTGCTAAGTGTAGTCTTAAGTGTAATTAAGGGTGTGTGTGAAGGGAAGGGGGGTGAACTAACCTACATCATCTCCTAAATGGCTAATCTGTTTGTTTAGGTGGAGGTAAAACGTGCAGAACCTCGTGATAGCAAAAGCCAAACTCCAGGGCCACCGGGTGCCAGCCAGTGGGGAAGCCGGATCATGCCAAGTGCTGCCAATGGCTGGGCAGGTCAGCCCCCTCCTACCTGGCAACAAGGATACAGCCCTCAAGGTAAATTTTCTTTTGGGGGTTTCAGAGACCCAGAGTCAAAGGTGTGATTCCTGTCTTCCTTAAAACTGGCAGTGTCTTTCACTAGCCATGGTTTTGTTACTGACCACATTTAACTTGCATTATTCTTTCAAAAGGTAACATCATCTCATTAGTGATACAGATACTTCCAAGTGGAGTGAAACCATCTATGCAGTGATGTAATACAGTAGAGAACTAAAGTACTGTGCATCTGTTTTCCCCAATTCTGCTTGGGTTTTTCCTTAGTTTATTTTTTTCAGAATGATTTTTGTTACATGCTGCAGAAATCAGTGGGTCTTGCCAGCACAAGTTCTGTTTCCTCAACATCCCCCAGCCTGATTAAGTGGGGATCAGTACTGTGATTGGTGCTTCATCCATTCTGTTTAAGTGTGGGGAGCAGGAGTACCAAATCAGCATGTTCTTTTTACCTAGTAGTGGGGAGAAGTCAGGGAGAATTCCATGATTCTGCAGCTGTGGGAATGTGGGTGGCATGGGACCCGGATTCAAAATATTTATGGAACACAGATTTTCAAAGATGAAATCTGAAATGAGTTTCAAGAGAAACTACACGTGAAATATGAAGGAAAAACAGGCTATCTTGTGTCTTTGTATTTCATTACTTAGTGTAGCCTGGAAAAGTAACAAGCAGCTCTGGGGTTGATTGTTAGTGGTGATGCAGGGGAGCACTTAATGCTTATAATTTTCTTGATTTAGCTTGAGCCCTTTAGGGCTGGGAAGGAGCAGATGCTTGTTTTAGTTTTGAATGCCATAAAAAAAAACCAACAAGATTTTGGAGATGGAATAAACGTGTTGAATTCATCTAAAGAATGTTTTCATGCCATATGAAGAAATGAGGTGGCATAACTGGTGGATGAATTAGTTGGGGATTGGTCCTGCTTTGAGCAGGGGGTTGGACTAGATGACCTCCTGAGGTCCCTTCCAACCCTGATATTCTATGATTCTATAATTGAGTCACATCTAACGAATATATAACCTGCCTTTCTCAGATATGAGAAATTATTACCATGGAGATAGGGGCTGGCGTCACCTTGTCCATTATGCCCCCATAGGATGGCTTACCATTTCCCCCTGGTGCTTATTTACTTGAAAGCTGCAGCTGAGGCTTTGACAGTCTGCATGGTTTTGCTAATCTGCAAACTCAGATTGAGAAACTAGATCACTTTCATCTTGGTTATTTGCAGGGAAAGGTATCATTATATCCGTCTGTGGGAGGGATTAAATGAAGAACTCTTAAATAAGTTAAACTTTCTACCTTCACACTGCAGCAAATATAAAATGAGGTTCCATGAGTCTAAAACACTTGAAATAGCTGAATGATAACTCTTATCAGCATTATATTTGAAACATCTTGTATCTATAGCTTCACCTTTGTAATCCTTAGTCTTTTTAAACAATGTTATGGAATTATTTTTAACACTAGAATATGCTCTGTTTGAACACTGAGTGTAATTTGAGTTTTGAGACTCCTGGACACTTCTTGCATTAGCTCTTTAATCAATGTAGAACACTGCTTTTTTCAGAATTGCATTGTATGCCATTTTTAATAGAACAGTTTCAATATATAAGTGGATAAACTATCATTCTGTTTCATTGTTTTAGGAATGTGGGTACCAGCTGGACAGGCAATTGGTAAGTAGGGAACAAAAGTTTCATTGTTTAGTGTATTGTAAACTGTAGAAAAGGCCAACTGGTAGTTCAGATGTAAATTGCATTTCAATGAGAATTGATGGTGGCTGTAAATTTCTCAAGTACAGTGCTTCTAGGCCAGTTTTGAAACTAACTTTTGAGTTTGTATTGGAAAAAATATGGAGTGGGGGAACTGTTCTGTTCTTAACTATTCAGTGTTGGGAATTGGAATACACCCTTTTGCTGATAATGCAATTAAATTGATACTGGCCATCAAGAAATTAAATACGAAGAAGAGAAGTGTAGAGTTATTTACAGTCAGGGTTCTCTCAGCATTTCCCAATGTTCATATCCATAGATGGAGGGGGGAGAGTTTCCCAGAGTTTGGTTCCCAGTTACAGTAACAACTTCTTTGTTCTGTTTGGGGTAATTTTGACTTTGTATTAAAAAGTTGCTGTGCTGAGTTTAGATGAAGGCACCGCTTGTTCTCACAACTCTGTACTGGATTTTCTAGGTGGGTATGGACCGCCTCCTCCAGGAAGAGGAGCCCCGCCTCCTCCACCACCTTTTACCTCATATATAGTTTCTACGCCTCCTGGAGGATTCCCACCTCCACAAGGGTTCCCACAGGGCTATGGCACCCCTCCACCATTTAGTAAGTGTCCTCTGTGAGTCTCGAACCAATGATGTGCCATTGAACACAAGAACGGGTTTTAGTCACTTCTGTTTCTTTATTTCGTGCCTTTCTGTAAATTCAGTGGAGTCATTCACATTTGATCCACATGTGGATCCACTCAAATTTCTGTACTGTAACTAGAAATCAGTATATTTTCAGATCCTGTTTCTTTGAATCCATCCATCTTGATCATATTAGTAATACTCAGTAATACCATAACCTCTCAGTTTTTTGGTTTTGACTGAGGACTTTTACTTTTGACCTCCTCTTTTCTAGAACTGAGGTATTCGACATAGTAATACTACATGTTGAAGACTAGAGACACAGGCTCCCTTGAAAATTCTAGCCTAAGAAATTAGGCACCCTACTCTCATTGAATTTAAATGGGATTTGGGCACCTAACTCCTTTACATTCCTTTAAAATTCCTATGCACAATTGGGTTAAAACTGGCAGAAAGATGCCCTTAATTATCCAAAGTTTCTTGAACAGCCATTATGCACCTCTTAGTTCCGATTCTTGTGCTTTGGGGAAGCAGCCTGTCCAGGATTTTTCAGTCTGTGGCTTTTGGCAACTTCCTTATTTGGATGGATGAAAGGCTTTTTGGAGGGGTGTCTCACCATGACTTTCCCTGCTCCCCCAATACACCTTTCGGTACCTGTGGCTACCTCTTCAGCTATTATTTGCTAGGTAAGATGGTTCAATTGCTGTTAAGCACATGCAGTCTGTGTAACAGGTGTAAGATTTCACATCTCTTAAATGACTTTAGTTGTGGATAGGATGACTGTCAAGAGATGGTTAAATCAATCCCTTTACTTCAGCTGCAGGCAACAAGTAGTAATCTCTTTTTTGTAGACACCTTACAAAGGGTTTACAACAAAATGTTAAATTACTCTGAAGCCAAGTGAAAAGTCCAAGTGCTTTTGGCCTCGTATCATGTCACAGATTTTATGCTCTGCCTCTTATTTATCAGGTTTTGGATATGGTGCTCCACCTCCTCCACCTGACCAGTTTGCCCCTCCTGGAGTACCCCCTCCACCTGCCACTCCTGGGGCAACACCACTAGCTTTCCCACCGCCACCACCACCATCTCAGGCAACTCAGGACATGAGCAAACCCCCAACTGCTCAGCCAGAATTCCCTTATAGCCAGTTTGGTAAGTAACTGCATATAAAATACACTCAGAGCGGCAACCTTTCCCCTCAGCCCCAAGGTTCTGCTTTCCTTTTATTCATAATGTTTTGGTGAAAAGTCACAGTTTCCAGGAGCAGTGTATTAATGCTGACAGCATTTGTACTAATGGTGGGAATGCCAGCTACTGGCTCTCAAGGGCCCCCCAAAACATGCAGTACTCTGATATCACAGTATTGTTTCCTTCCTGCCCAGCCTGAAGTATTGCCCATTTCCTGAATCACTAAATAACTGGCTCTCTAGAGATCTGTGCGGTGGTAGGCTAAGTCACCACTTGCATTCCCCCAAATGCTCAAGTTTAAACTCTTTTTTGTTCAACTAACAATTTCACACTGCAAGGTGCTCAGTAGTTTGCTTCCTTTTCTGTTGAAATGTCTTGGTTAACACAGTAGCAGCCAAAGGGAATTCTGGTAATCTCACCTCAAGGAAGATGCACTAGAATTGAACCAAAGCACAGTGAAAAGGGCACTGAAAATGGTTGAGTGAGGGGGCTTGCATAAGAGGGTGGGCTCAGCATGGAGAATAATGATACTTAAAAGTAGTATCTCATTACTCTAGAGTAATGGGAATTGACTGAGACAAAAAACAATAAAGGGTATAGCGAAATCTGACCTGCATGCCCCTTTTGACCCTGTTTCATAAGGCTTGTTGAAATTGATGCAGCTAATTTAAAACAAAAGCAGATACTTACTTACTAGGGAAAACTTTATCAGTCTCTGGAACTCATTGCTGCAAGTAGGTGATAAAGAATGATTTAATAGGTAAGCTACAGTAAGACAAAATATGGGAAGTCAAAGTCTTGTGCTACTGGCTGAAAGATGACTATTTGTAGAGATCAGGAAGGAGTTCTTTGATTTGACCCTTGCACCCAAGCCTTCCATGAGCAGCATTGCCCAATTAGCTGGGTGGGTGTGCCTTCTTCTTGATCACTGGCCATTGGTAACTTCTGAAGGCAGCATACTACACAAGGTGAGCCCAAGAATCAAGAATTTCCACTCTGTCCCTGCATTTTAACCACTTTTCCCCTGTGTTTATGCATGCCTTACTAGTCCCATATAAAATACCTGCAGAAGCTGTTCATTACGAAATGTCTGCTCCATAAAGCTCTTTGAAAGGATTTTCTATAGTCCAAATAATCTGAAGTATAAGACTTCCGATAGGAGATCAGCTTTTCAGTTGTTCTTGACATGCATAAGGTGAGGGTGTTAATTATGATGGGTTTAGTTAGAGATGTTCTTAAGCTTATGTCACAGACACAGTAGCTGGGATCGAAAGTTCCCCCAATTTGACTTCAGGTGGAAGATTTTCTTGTCTTGTCGGAAACGTGCCTTTGTTACATATGAGGGGAAACTTCTACTGATTAGAATAAAAACTGATACATACAAATTTATCTTGTCTCAGACTTGGTAGCCAAGTCTTTTAATACCAATAATTAAAATGGATCCAAACAGCAAAGGCGTAATTGATTATATATAAACTTTCCATACAGGGAATTGTGCTCTAAAGTTCCTGTTGCAAGACTTTTACGTAGTAACCTCCAATTATCATTTAAAAAACCTCACTACTCAGTTTAATTGCCTGACTTTCAAAACAATGTTGTGAGGGATAGTTGGGGTGTCTGGTGTAAGGAATATGTAGTACCAGCTGCATCTTGTATAAATCTTGGAGACATTTTTCCCCCCAGCGAGTATCTGAAATGCTGGTTATAGTTAGTCCTTAGGGGTTAATGGATTTTTTGGAAGGAGGAAGAGGGTTAGATAATGTTGTTAAATGCATTAGTGGGATTAATCTCTCTCACCCCAAAATTCATGCCAGAAAGCAAACTACTTCTGTGCAAGACTGCACTCGCAGTATATGTACACAGCATTAGAAGTGTTCAACTTAGTGTATTACCACCCAAGTCAATAACCTCTTCATGTTTATAAAGCTATGTTTAAGATCTTTTTAACCTCTTTAAGATCTTTTGAACTTCATGTGTCATTTGCAATTCAGCTAGCAGCATTGGTATACAAAAGGCAGTTAACAAGTTTTTCATGTTTTCACTTAAATGCATAGAGTTTATAGACTTTAAAGAGGCATCAAAGTATTTAATCATTTTGGCATTTACAGATTAATCCTGGCTTCACAGCATCATAAATGCTGCTATGTTTACAGCTGAGATAAATGTAAACACTCTAGTAAATTAAACTCTAACAAGGGTGTGTCTCCCTCACCCCCCAAAAAAAAAATAATTATATCTCTGTACAGGGCTGTCTTGGGGTTAGTCACCCTGGTCTCCTCATTTCTTACTAGGGCTGGGTACCTATTCTCAAGACCCTTCAGGCTACGCGCCAATACTTTGTTTACACTCTTATGGTCAGGCTGAGCAGTGATATATCCTAGGTAGGTGGAGCCTATTTACAACCAATGCTCTTACTTTATCTGCATTTGGGAAATTAACTTTTATTTCTTGCAGGGTCTCTTCTCTTTGAGGGTGGGTGAGATAAGTATGGTGGCTTGGAAATGTTTGCTTTTTACAGTTCAAGGATAATCTAGTTTAAATATCTGTTAGTTGGCATAAGTAAAAATGCGTCGTTGGAATATGGCTGCTCTGCTGTTCGCTTTCCCAAGATCTTGCATTGGCAAGACTTAAATTGTCTTGTGTAAGCAAATTGCATTTAGTTACCCTAAGCAACAGAGTCAATATCCCCTGCTACTGTTGACACGACTGACTTAGAATCCAGGTCACTCGGGAGCAGTGAATCAGCTGTGTGTCGCTTTTGGAAGTGACAATGCAGACCAATGGTGGGATAGCTCGCTAGAGGAGAGAACAGTGCCCAAAAAAAACAACAGCTGTTGGTTTGACTGCTGGATTCCTTTGTGGCCAACAAACCAGCAGAGCTCTGGTTTTCTTAACTTTTCACTGCAAGCCACAGTGCTGCTGAGAGTAACGTGATTATCTTCACTCCGAACCCCAACCCTTGGCATTAAATTAATGCATTTAAGATTGCCTACTGATCTTTGTGTCAAAAATGGCTGAATTAGCAGCTTGAGAAATCTTCAAACGGGGAAGCCCATGGTAGTACTGTTGGGTTCATTAGTGGTAGTAAGTCCTGTGAGACAGGCAGAGCTTGAAATTGAAATACTGAAGAGATGCCAAGAGACTGTTGCTTTGGATTAGCAGAGTTAAACCTGCTTTAACCCTGTGCAGAAAAAAATTTGACTCAGAGATCCACTGAGTAGTTACAGGATTCTTAACAGGGCTGTCTTGCATAGTGGAATTTCACGTTGATGCCATTGTAGTGACTGACAGTTGTATTTTAATCACTAGAAAGATTCTGTTAGATTTCTTAACTTCTTTTAGTAAGTTACTGTTAATACACATCCATTTGCCTTCCAGGAATTTAGTTTTTTCCTCCAAATTGAAAGGTGGTCTCTGTCTCCTCTGTCATCCTGCTTACTCTAAACCTGTTGCTCCAAAATCTCTGACCTCTGCTCCAGATTATGTTGCAGAATGGAGGTTACAATCTCATTGACAAGGCAGGAGGAAGATTTGGTAGGAGGTAGAAGTCTCCTGATTCCGTAGTTACCTTTATGATCTCTTCAGAGAAAGGAAGCTAGTTGTTACACAGTCAGAAAGATACTGATTTACAGAATAAATGAGCATAAAGTTCACAGAGGGACAGCTCACTTTTAGTTTTAAAATGAGTAAGTCTGGTGAAACAGTTTAGACTAACTCAGTGGTTGTGTTAGTATGAATAGCAAGGGTACACAGAAGGGATGGCTATTCCAATATAACTATTTATCTGTTGCTTCTGTGGTTTTGCTACATTGGAAATATAGTCTGCCTGCTTAAGTTATATGGGAAGCTGATGATAAAATGGCTTTTGCTATTCTTTTGAGCTGTCTTTGAGAAGAAACGTGCCACACCATTTGCTTATTTAAGCTGGTTCTGTGCAACGAGTTAACGGCAGGGTAGGGTGTTGGATCTGGATGGCAATTAGCTGAAGTCCCTTTTTAACCACATAATGTGGGCAGTAGAAGCAATAACAAGCTTCCTGATTCTGGCCTGTGGATCTGATGGAAGTTTATGGGAGTCCAGTCACCACATCCTTTGAAAGGGACACTGTCAACTTGGGTTTTTTAATTCACAATTTCAGAAAATTCCAATTTCTGATGCAACCGTCGTCTTAAAAACAATACATTCAGAGCCTAGTATTTAAAACTCCTTTTTAAAGCAATTTCCTAGGGTTATCTTATAGGGTTCTTTTCAGCAAAGGAAAACTTGACTATACACAGGAAACTAAAATTGGCTGAACACAAAATAAACAGAAAATCACAATCTTTCACTAACTCCTTTCAGTTAGAAACATCAGCTATAGTAACTATCAGCTTTTCAGACAGATGTTTCCCCATTAATTTTCTCTACCTCTGCTGAAACTGACAGAATGCTAGTTTTGCTAATATGAACACTTATCCATTATGGACTAATAGATACTACCAACCCACTTTACATAAGCCTCTGAACAGCAGTAGCATGACATTTTGGTCACCACCAGCCTGGGTAAGATTTGATAGAGAGTGAAAAGCACTATCTCCAATTAGGCATTCAGTCCCCCCTCCTCTCTGCCTTTTGTCATTACCTGTATTTTCTACATGTAAATCCAAATAACTTGGTCAAATGTAAAAGCAACTATCATCTGGGTGTTAGATCAGCACATCACTGTGTGTTCATAGGGCTGTGCATTGGTATGTGTGGCATCAGTTTTCAGTTGGTGCTGCACCTCTATCTTTGAGCTTGTGGACTGTAATAGAAGCTTACTGCAGACTTTTCCTCTTCTTCCCAGGTTATGGACAAGACTTGAGTGGTTTTGGACAAGGTTTCTCCGACCCTAGCCAGCAGCCCCCCTCCTATGGAGGCCCCTCGGTGCCACCATCAAGTGGCCCACCTGCAGGAGGAAGTGGTTTTGGACGAGGACAGAACCATAATGTGCAAGGATTTCACCCCTACAGACGCTAGCACATGCTGGCAATCAGGGAATCCTGTCCACAGTGGGATATCTGGTAGCAGCTGAAGCCGGGAATCCCAGACTTCTGAACTTGTGACAATCACATACTTGATGGAAGAAAAATCTAACAACATTGGGGGAGGGGAATGGGAGAGGGGATGGCTTTTGAAGGCAACGCTGTGGGTGTTTGGACTGCAGGTTTTAAATATATTCCTTTCTCTAACCCATCAGCACAAATAAAGAAAATGTCACTGGTTCAAACTACAGGGTTTTAAAAATGTCTTCAGCTTTAATTCAAAACTTCAGGTTTCTTTTTTTGAAATTATTTTTCCTGAGCCTTTGTTTTACCGTATATTGTAAACTTTTATGTTTAAAGAAAAATATATACATTTACAGATTGTGAAATTTTTAAGAGAAATTTTCTACTATGTATGCTGGCTTATTTTTTAATTTAAAACAGGGTTTCCGTTAGCAATGTTGGAAGTGATGGTCAGTTTCAACCCCTTTACTTCAAACATAGTGGTGGGGCAGTTGGTCCAGAAACTCTGGGAGTTAGAAGAAGAAATCTACTGAGTGTATTTTGCTTTTGTTACCTGACAGTATAGAACTGGTAACAATGCAGGTGCAGACTTGTTGATGCACAGAGTCACTTATGAAGTACAGCATTTAAATCTGTGCTTCAAACTCTTTAAAATCCTCTGTGGATTTCATTAGGGGTTAACGGAGGCCTTGTTAAGATGTAGATTTCCCTCAGGCAAAAGGTTTAGGTGCATTTTGCACTAACCAGTGATTACCCCTGGTTTGAATAAAGAGAAGTACATTTGGATTAGAAACATAAGCCTGTCTCCATTTTTTTTTTCTTACAAATTTTTCCATGTGAATTGGGTTCTCATGAAAGTTGCCATATTGACAGCCCTGGAAAAGAAATCCTTGTGGGTAGAGCGTCAGTGCACCCTTACCCACACTTTTTGCCCTGTGCCTCAACCAGGATCTTTAGGTACTGCCTAGAAGTGAAAGCATAATGCGCTCTTCATGCCCTTTTAGCCCTTAATGCAAGTGATATGATTGGATTGATGTAGGATCTGGACTGAGACCATTCAATTAATTTCATAGGCTACTGAAGAACCTCAGTAGCTTTAAGAAAAGGAGGACTTGTGGCACCTTAGAGACTAACCAGTTTATTTGAGCATAAGCTTTCGTGAGCTACAGCTCACTTCATCGGATGCATAAAGTGGAAAATGCAGTGAGGATGTTTTATACACACAGACCATGAAAAAATGGGTGTTTATCACTTCAAAAGGTTTTCTCTCTCCACCCCACTCTCCTGCTGGTAATAGCTTATCTAAAGTGATCACTCTCCTTACAATGTGTGTGATAATCAAGGTGGGCCATTTCCAGCACAAATCCAGGGTTTAACAATCCGATGAAGTGAGCTGTAGCTCACAAAAGCTTATGCTCAAATAAATGTGTTAGTCTCTAAGGTGCCACAAGTCCTCCTTTTCTTTTTGCAAATACAGACTAACACGGCTGCTACTCTGAAACCTGTCAGTAGCTTTAGGTCCACACCAGACTGATCTCGAGTTGAACTGGTAATCTACAGTTGAAAGACTCAATGTACCATTACGAGTCTCCAAAACCCTCTTCTGTCTCTTACATGTGCATGACTATAAGCAGGAATTGATGCATTACGGAGCACTAGCACATTAAATCAGTGATCTGCTTTAGTCTAGAATTAAAGATGGGTTAAGTTTCAAGATTATCAGGCTGCAAAGTAATCTTAAACCCTAAATGTAGCATGTAAACATATTCAAGCTCTCAATTTAAGAGGTGAGGTCAAAGTACATAAATGTCTAACAGAAGAATATATCCATCTCAAAGAAGAGGGTGGGACTAACTCCTCTAAGATTTGGCATTCAGTTATATATAAAATATATATAAAAGCAGTGCCAATATATATATTTTCCCATGTGTCCTCATACAAGTCCAGGTAGTGTTACCTCCCCATATCAAGGATCTGATCTATGAAAAAATCCTTCACTGCATAATTCCTCTGGAATCAGCTTTGTGCTGGTTTGAGCAGTGATAGAGGATTAAACTCCAATTGGTTGCAAATTGCTATGTGAGCTAGCTGCTTTATTCAAGAAAGTGCTTCAGGGGCAGGTCTTAGGGAGCTAATGAACTGTGTTATCACCTTCACAGAGCTGGGTTCATATTTGGTTCAGAGTGCAAACTAAACTAGTTTGAACTTGTAGGCTTGCGTGACACTTCATCAACACGTCCAAAATATACCACAGATCTACTCCTACATCAGCCACTCCCACTATGCCCAGATCCTCTCCAAACCCATTCATTGGCTTCCCCTGAACCTCTGTGTCAAATTTAAGCTCCTTGTTCTTACCTTCAAACCCCTGCATAACTTGGCTTCTACCTACCTCTTTGCAAGTAACTAAACAGCCCCAACTTGCTTTTTCTTTCTTCCATGCAGCCTCCTGTTCTGAGGAGCTCCCTCCAACCTGAATTTCCAGTGCCTCTGCTAAGTCCTGTAAGTGAGCTGTAGCTCACGAAAGCTCATGCTCAAATAAATTGGTTAGTCTCTAAGGTGCCACAAGTCCTCCTTTTCTTTTTGCGAATACAGACTAACACGGCTGTTACTCTGAAACCTGTCTTTATTTGGCCTGTAAATCTTAGTGTTAAAACACAGAACTAACCTTCCAGCACCAGCGCTGCTCTGTTGCTACGTGATGTCCTTCGACTTTCCATCTTTTGTCTGCTGATTGTGTAGATTGCGAAGCCGGGGCTGGGTCCCTTGTCTGTGCATGTCTAGTTCCAACTTGCTTTTAGCGTTGTCACCATTTGTACTGCAGAGACAACTGGTACATCCGGGGAAGGCTATGGGTCAGAATTGTAGAGACTGGATGAATTAGGTGCAAGCTTCTGAACACAATATAGTTCTATTAATGCTGGAAGATTCCACTTGCAGCATTTCCCATCTCTGCTGCTACCTGCTGTATGAGAGTTATGCTTGTAATCTCAGTACAAATATAACAAACTGTGTGACACTTACGTAGGGAGGAGACAGTTCAAGGAACTCAAACTAAGCCCTTGTGTGTGTCTGTATTTAATTTGGATGCTAGCACTGCCCTCTGATCCCATCTTTAAATGTCACTTGACCATAACTCTTTTTAAAAAAAAAAAAAAAATGAAGCTAAATTCTGGATTGTCTTTGCATTGTTTGAACACTCAGCCTTTCTGCTTCTTACACCCAACCACTACTTCTTGTTCTCCAGCCTCAATTGTTCACCTCTGATACTCCTAGGCTCTGAATCAAGAGTCCACTAGCTTCTGCTAACTCCAGGCCTGGCATTTAGTCGAGCGTTGATAATTCTGGGGTAGAGTTAGCTTTTTTTTTTAAATGGGTGAGGCAAGCAGAAAAAAAGTTAAACTGGGATTTTAAATGGTAGGATAGATGCAGAGTGAACAGAGACTCTCCTAGTTGAATAGATAATGCATTGAGAGGTTAACCCCGATTTCTGCCCTCTCCAGAGAAGAATGGTGGTTGTAGCCCTCTGCACCTTCTGTTGAGCCCCCAGTTTTGCAAAAGGAAAAACTGGAGTGACCATGTGAAGCAGGTTCCTCTGCAATTTCTGGCTGTTCTTGGGGCTGGTAAATTAGTTTCTATAGTGGATTCATTTACACTGATTCTCAGTGCTAAAGCATGGTCTCTGGATGTTAAACAGCTTGTGTTTGTATTGTCCAATCACTGTTAAATGGGGAGGGAAAGCAGATTTTGCAGTGGCACTGTGCTCCTGTTGTGCTAGTGTCACAAATGCCACCTCAGCAGCAAGGCAGGCACTGGCAGAAGAGGAACCGCAAAGCTTAAAGCAAAAAACTGCATTGTGGCCAGCGATCTGAATGGAAGGATTTTACATTTGGTCATTTAAAGCAAAGAGTAAAATCCTAGGAGTCTGACTTGAAAGCATTGTACGCTCATGTTGCATTGGTGTAACTGACTGCAACAAAGGGCAGGATAATGGAGAATATCTTAACTCTTCTTTATTTATGCTTTTCATCTTGTATTTCGTGCAGCTTGAATGTTCAAGCTTGACTGGATGTGTTGAATTTCTAGACCGGGTTTGCTTTTCAGTTCTCCTGCACTTCAGCTGTTTGGAATTGCAACATGGCAGGGGAACGTTTTAAATGGTTGCACAGGTTTTGTTTAATAAACCATTAAATCTGTTTGAAGTGCAACTGTGCCCCGCAACAGAAACTGAATCAACCCGTGCTAAGAGCTGAGCCAGCATTTGTCGGCAGCACCTTGGCCTAACACTTGTGTGAATCATCTCACAAAGCATAGCGGGCTGGAGGCTCTCCAAATTCTGTGAGCAAGAGAGAAATGACCCAGCGATGGTATTGGAGGAACAGTTCTATTAGGAAATCTGATCTTGGGCATGTCTTCACTGCACTTAACTCAGGGGTTTGGCAGTTGGGTCTAGACTAGTGAAAGCCCTATCTGACTTCTGGGGGCATGTCCCATAGTTCTCTGTGCTGCTGCAGCAGTAAACTGAGATGCTTTGTGATTCTTCCCCAGTGAATTGCAGGGGACACTCTTGTCTGTTCTGGGCACCTGGAGGGAATTGTGGGAAGGCATTGGAGGACTATCTGTACTTGAGTGATCTGGCCTCATCCAAACTAAAAGTGGGTGAGGACCAATCTGAGTGAAAGCAGCACCCAAGTTCTAATCCATGTCCCCAGCTAGCCTGGGTTCAGAGCATCACCAAATTCAGGTGAGAGGGTGTTGTGTGTGGATTGGAGAGGGCTTAGGGGCAACATCTGAGTAAGAACCCAGGTTAACTCTGACTTGAAGACATACCTCATGTGTGAGACAAATTTATGTACATCTGTGTCTCTGCTCCCTAGATGAGTGGAAAAAGGACAAACAGTTTTATGGTGCCACTGCTGGGAAGCAAGGAGGCAGCAGTTCTGAAACCCATATAAATCTCAGCCTTGCTGCCTCCCTTAGGTTTTCTTTGCCACCTCATCTTGGAAGCACAGAGGCATTGCCTCATCTTTCCTGCTCTCTCCCTCCATCTGGACTAAGGAAGGACTAGGAGACAAGAAAAAAAGAAGAGTAAGGAGAGAAGCCAGACGCCTGAGATTTCTGCTTCAGCCCAGGGGAGAGGATAAAAAGCAAAGCTCCTAGCTCTGAAGCGGAGCATCCTTCTTCATAGGGGTCTCAGCTGGGGCCAGCCATTTAATCAGACATGCTTCCCACCTGAAAATGGCCAAGTGGTCTCCTACTTCTGAAAGGTGGCTACTTGTGTACCTGGGACTAGCACCCTGCCTAAGCCTTCTGCTTTGCTTCATAGCCTACTCAGCTATGCAGCAGCTTCTCTGCCTCCACCTGGACCTCATGTCTTGTTCTGGTAAGTCCTGCACTGGTGGGGATTTCTTTTGCCTGCCCCCCAAATAGCCTCTTGCCCTTTCTCAGTGGGGATTCCCCTCAACCATCTGCTCCTCATCACCTGCTTTTGCTCCAATTTCTGCAGCCTCTTCATCTTCCTGGGATTCCATCCACTTCTTGTCACCCTCCCAAAACTCACCCCTGTCCAGGCAGCTATATGGTTGGTGTGTAAGCATAAGGACTCAAAATCACCTGACAGCCTTGCTCCCAGCCCCTGGCATAGAGAGCAAATTGTAAGCATAGCCAGTGTGTACTGTGATTATGACTATTTGCTGCTTCCCAGGGCCTAGAGGGAGCTATGAAAAGCAGAGCATAAATTAGAGCAGCCCTGAGGCTGCTCTAACTTACACCAAGGGGGCAGGCAGGGCCTCAGGGTACTCAGAACATGGGGAGACCGCAGGTGACACAGTCGCTCTTCCCTTCATATCCCCAAGTACAGGAATGGAGTAATTGAGAATTGGTCCCATTGTGCTATGTTAGATCACTCAGGTTTTATTGAGCCACTGTCATTCAAAATGAAACTATCAAATAGCCGCCTGTCATTTTTCTTTTTTATCTTAAAATGAATTTGGTTAATAACGCTCACAAGGACTCAAATCTATATTCTAGCCAAACAACTAGAATCAAACAGGGATTTTTTTTCTGTGAGAAATGTTGATGAAAATGGAGGGAAACAGTTTTTATGTTTCTCAAACTTTTTCAGCTTTTCTTTGAACAAACAAATTGAAACCTGAACAGTTTTCCATTTTAAACTATTTTTTCCTCCAAAAATTGTAATTTGACCGAAATGGACGCTTTCCCATGAAAATTTCCATTTAGCCAGTAAGGCATTTTTCTGTTAAAAAATGCTTTTTAACAGAAAAATTTTGATCAGCTCCTAACCCAACTTATGAACTTATGCAAAGCATGGGCCGGGTAAATGGTTTGTAGAAACTGCTTAGCCAATACCTAATTCCACACTACTTTTGCCCTCGTTCTCACACTTAACTTTATCATTCAGGTTTTACAACACCCAAAAAGCATTGGTTCCTGATCTCGGTCTCCTGTTATTGGACATTTCCCCATCTCCTTCCCAAGTTGATGGGGAGTGGTTCCAATATTTGTTTCTGGTATGGGCACATGTCTGATCTAAAGTATCTTCTGTGCCACAGGATCCCCAGACACCATTGAATTGCAGCCATCTCTGGGGTGGGTGAAAGGCGACAGCCAGGACTGGCCTACAGTCTAGGGGCGTCTCCTAAAACTTGGGAAATGCCTACTTTGAAACCCACTTCCAGCAAAAACCCCATAAGGTTTGGGCCAGGATCTGTGGGGGCCTAGGGCTGGCCTAGGTGGGTGAATACTTGGCAGGTGGCAGCTACCTCGGGCGTGATGGATTGCAGGTGGGGCATGAAGAGCCAGCCTACCTCCAGGTAGTGGACAGATGGCAGACCTCTCAAGTGTGTTTGCTTGGATTGAGGTCAAGGGGTCAAACATCCCCAGCATGGAATTGTGGCTGGTGGGGCATCTACGTCTGAGGCAGAAGCCAGGCAGGTATGATGGTGGGACAGAGCACCAGGAAGCAGTTATGGGGATTGGGAGACCTGTTGTTACCTGTTGTGGCAGGTCGAGCTGGATGAGGACCTGCATGTGGATGGGGCATGCCACAGGGCCCTGGGCATCTACCCAGAGTAGGTGCCCAGGGTAGCCACCTTGGGAAGTAGCCTATGACAACTGGGGGCTGTGCTCAGCTGGGGCTAGGCTAGGTGGGTGCCCAGAGGGGACTGGGGTAAGCGGGTGCCTGGAGTAGGGTGGAGGAATAAGTAGGGTTGCCAACAGTCCCTTATTTTTTCGTATCTGTGCTGTGTGCTGCAAGAAATACCCTGGTACAGGTAGCTGAATGCTGGTTGTGATCGGGGGTTGGACTAGATGACCTCCTGAGGTCCCTTCCAACCCTGATATTCTATTATTAGTATTAATAATAATAAATACTGGGAGGAGGAGTGGGGCAGGGATGCTAAGAAAACAGCCCCAAGCATTGCTAACCAAGTGTGGGAAGGGGGATAGGGCAGAGGAGATGGGGGGCCAGCCAGGTGAGACCGTAGGGTTGGCCTGGGGTAGGGAGGTGCCCTAGAAATGGACAGGTGAGCCATGAAGCTGCTGGCATCCCACGTGCTGCGCCAGCAGGGATGAGTAAGCCCTGGTCTACACTAGGACTTTAGGTCGAATTTAGCAGCGTTAAATCAATGTAAACCTGCACCCGTCCACACAATGAAGCCCTTTATTTCGACTTAAAGGGCTCTTAAAATCGATTTCCTTACTCAACCCCTGACAAGTGGATTAGCGCTTAAATCGACGTTGCCGGCTCGAATTTGGGGTACTGTGGACACAATTCGATGGTATTGGCCTCCGGGAGCTATCCCAGAGTGCTCCATTATGACCGCTCTGGACAGCACTCTCAACTCAGATGCACTGGCCAGGTAGACAGGAAAAGAACCGCGAACTTTTGAATCTCATTTCCTGTTTGGCCAGCGTGGCAAGCTGCAGGTGACCATGCAGAGCTCATCAGCACAGGTGACCATGATGGAGTCCCAGAATCGCAAAAGAGCTCCAGCATGGACCGAACGGGAGGTACGGGATCTGATCGCTGTTTGGGGAGAGGAATCCGTGCTATCAGAACTCCGTTCCAGTTTTCGAAATGCCAAAACCTTTGTGAAAATCTCCCAGGGCATGAAGGACAGAGGCCATAACAGGGACCCGAAGCAGTGCCGCGTGAAACTGAAGGAGCTGAGGCAAGCCTACCAGAAAACCAGAGAGGCGAACAGCCGCTCTGGGTCAGAGCCCCAAACATGCCGCTTCTATGATGAGCTGCATGCCATTTTAGGGGGTTCAGCCACCACTACCCCAGCCGTGTTGTTTGACTCCTTCAATGGAGATGGAGGCAATACGGAAGCAGGTTTTGGGGACGAAGAAGATGCGGAGGAGGAGGTTGTAGATAGCTCACAGCAAGCAAGCAGAGAAACCGGTTTTCCCGACAGCCAGGAACTGTTTCTCACCCTAGACCTGGAGCCAGTACCCCCCGAACCCACCCAAGGCTGCCTCCTGGACCCAGCAGGCGGAGAAGGGACCTCTGGTGAGTGTACCTTTTAAAATACTATACATGGTTTAAAAGCAAGCATGTGAAAGGATTACTTTGCCCTGGCATTTGCGGTTCTCCTAGATGTAGTCCTAAAGCCTTTGCAAAAGGTTTCTGGGGAGGGCAGCCTTATTGCGTCCTTCATGGTAGGACACTTTACCACTCCAGGCTAGTAACACGTACTCGGGAATCATTGTAGAACAAAGCATTGCAGTGTATGTTTGCTGGCATTCAAACAACATCCGTTCTTTATCTCTCTGTGTTATGCTCAGGAGAGTGAGATATAATTCATGGTCACCTGGTTGAAATAGGGTGCTTTTCTTAAGGGGACACTCAGAGGAGCCCATTCCTGCTGGGCTGTTTGCCTGTGGCTAAACAGAAATGTTCCCTGCTGTTAGCCACAGGGAGGGGGGAAGGTTGAGGGGGTAGTCACGCGGTGGGAGGAGGCAAAATGCGACCTTGTAACGAAAGCACATGTGCTATGTATGTAATGTTAACAGCAAGGTTTACCCTGAAAGAGTGTAGCCACTGTTTTATAAAATGTGTCTTTTTAAATACCACTGTCCCTTTTTTTTTCTCCACCAGCTGCATGTGTTTCAATGATCACAGGATCTTCTCCTTCCCAGAGGCTAGTGAAGCTTAGAAAGAAAAAAAAACGCACTCGCGATGAAATGTTCTCCGAGCTCATGCTGTCCTCCCACACTGACAGAGCACAGACGAATGCGTGGAGGCAAATAATGTCAGAGTGCAGGAAAGCACAAAATGACCGTGAGGAGAGGTGGTGGGCTGAAGAGAGTAAGTGGCGGTCTGAAGAGAGTAAGTGGCAGGCTGAAGACAGGGCTGAAGCTCAAATGTGGCGGCAGCGTGATGAGAGGAGGCAGGATTCAATGCTGAGGCTGCTGCAGGACCAAACCAGTATGCTCCAGTGTATGGTTGAGCTGCAGCAAAGGTAGCTGGAGCACAGACTGCCACTGCTGCCCCTCTGTAACCAACCGCCCTCCTCCCCAAGTTCCATAGCCTCCACACCCAGACACCCAAGAACGCGGTGGGGGGGCCTCCGGCCAACCAGCCACTCCACCACAGAGGATTGACCAAAAAAAAGAAGGCTGTCATTCAATAAATTTTAAAGTTGTAAACTTTTAAAGTGCTGTGCTTAAAGTGCTGTGTGGCATTTTCCTTCCCTCCTCCACCACCCCTCCTGGGCTACCTTGGTAGTCATCCCCCTATTTGTGTGATGAATGCATGAATGTGAAGCAACAATGACTTTATTGCCTCTGCAAGCGGTGATTGAAGGGAGGAGGGGCGGGTGGTTAGCTTACAGGGAAGTAGAGTGAACCAAGGGGCGGGGGGTTTCATCAAGGAGAAACAAACAGAACTTTCACACCGTAGCCTGGCCAGTCATGAAACTGGTTTTCAAAGCTTCTCTGATGCGTACCGCGCCCTCCTGTGCTCTTCTAACCGCCCTGGTGTCTGGCTGCGCGTAACCAGCAGCCAGGCGATTTGCCTCAACCTCCCACCCCGCCATAAACGTCTCCCCCTTACTCTCACAGATATTGTGGAGCACACAGCAAGCAGTAATAACAGTGGGAATATTGGTTTCGCTGAGGTCTAAGCGAGTCAGTAAACTGCGCCAGCGCGCCTTTAAACGTCCAAATGCACATTCTACCACCATTCTGCACTTGCTCAGCCTGTAGTTGAACAGCTCCTGACTACTGTCCAGGCTGCCTGTGTACGGCTTCATGAGCCATGGCATTAAGGGGTAGGCTGGGTCCCCAAGGATACATATAGGCATTTCAACATCCCCAACAGTTATTTTCTGGTCTGGGAATAAAGTCCCTTCCTGCAGCTTTTGAAACAGACCAGAGTTCCTGAAGATGCGAGCGTCATGTGCACCTTTCCCGGCCATCCCACGTTGATGTTGGTGAAACGTCCCTTGTGATCCACCAGAGCTTGCAGCACTATCGAAAAGTACCCCTTGCGGTTTATGTACTCGGCGGCTTGGTGCTCCGGTGCCAAGATAGGGATATGGGTTCCGTCTATAGCCCCACCACAGTTAGGGAATCCCATTGCAGCAAAGCCATCCACTATGACCTGCACATTTCCCAGGGTCACTACCCTTGATATCAGCAGATCTTTGATTGCGTGGGCTACTTGCATCACAGCAGCCCCCACAGTAGATTTGCCCACTCCAAATTGATTCCCAACTGACCGGTAGCTGTCTGGCGTTGCAAGCTTCCACAGGGCTATCGCCACTCGCTTCTCAACTGTGAGGGCTGCTCTCATCTTGGTATTCATGCGCCTCAGGGCAGGGGAAAGCAAGTCACAAAGTTCCATGAAAGTGCCCTTACGCATGCGAAAGTTTCGCAGCCACTGGGAATCGTCCCAGACCTGCAACACTATGCGGTCCCACCAGTCTGTGCTTGTTTCCCGAGCCCAGAATCGGCGTTCCACAGCATGAACCTGTCCCATTAGCACCATGATGCATGCATTGGCAGGGCCCATGCTTTCAGAGAAATCTGTGTCCATGTCCTGATCACTCACGTGACTGCGCTGACGTCGCCTCCTCGCCCGGTATCGCTTTGCCAGGTTCTGGTGCTGCATATACTGCTGGATAATGCGTGTGGTGTTTAATGTGCTCCTAATTGCCAAAGTGAGCTGAGCGGCCTCCATGCTTGCCTTGGTATGGCGTCCGCACAGAAAAAAGGCGCGGAACGATTGTCTGCCGTTGCTCTGACGGAGGGAGGGGCGACTGACGACACGGCTTACAGGGTTGGCTTCAGGGAGCTAAAATCAACAAAGGGGGTGGCTGTACATCAAGGAGTATTTCAGGCAGGACTTCACGGAGGGTTCCAATAAGAAATGGTGCACCTAAGTTATCGTTCTTATTGGAACAAGGAGGTTAGCCTGGCCTCTGATTGATACATGGCTAGATTTACCTCGCTGCACCTTCTCTGTGAGTGACTGCAGTGTGACCTAGAGGAATGAGTCCCCTAGACAGGGGAGATGAGTACAAAACAAATCTGGTCTATTTCTTGTTTTGACCCACTCCATCTATCTTTTACATCTTTGGCTGGCAGCAGACGGTGCAGAAGGACTGCATGCCATCCACATCTCATGGCTGCTCGGCAGAAGATGGTACAGTACGACTGCTAGCCATCCTCATCTCTCGCCTGCCTGGCAGAAGATGGTACAATACGACTACTAGCAATCCTCATCTCTTGCCTGCCTGGCAGAAGATGGTACAGTACGACTACTAGCAATCCTCATCTCTTGCCTGCCTGGCAGAAGATGGTACAGTAGGACTGCTAGCAGTCCGTATCGCCTGCCCGCTCACCATAAGACGGTTCAATAGGACTGACTGCAGGACTAAAGAGAATGACCTGGTCAACTCACTCCAAATTTAGTCCCTGCGCCCATGTCTGCCCAGGCGCTCCCAGCCGACGTGGCCAGGAGCACCTCGGACACGACGAGGACGACTACCAGTCGTATTGCACCGTCTGCTGCTAGAAGGCAATGGGTTGCTGCTACTGTGCAGCAAAGCCGTACCGCGTCTGCCAGCACCCAGGAGACATAGGGTGACGGTTACCTGAGCAGGCTCCATGCTTGCCGTGGTATGGCGTCTGCACAGGTAACTCAGAAAAAAAGGCGCGAAATGATTGTCTGCCCTTGCTTTCACGGAGGGAGGGAGGGAACGGGGGCCTGACGATACGTACCCAGAACCACCCGCGACAATGTTTTAGCCCCATCAGAGTGATCCATTGTGACTGCTCTGGACAGCACTCTCAGATGCCCGATTGTTTGCCGTTGCTCTGATGCCGGGAGGGGCGATTTAGGACACGGCTTACAGGGTTGGCTTCAGGGAGCTAAAATCAACAAAGGGGGTGTCTTTACATCAAGGAGTATTTCAGGCAGGACTTCACGGAGGGTTCCAATAAGAAATGGTACACCTAAGTTATTGTCCTTATTGGAACAAGAAGGTTAGCCTGGCCTCTGATTGATACATGGCTAGATTTACCTCGCTGCACCTTCTCTGTGAGTGACTGCAGTGTGACCTAGAAGAATGAGTCCCCTAGACAGGGGAGGGGGGGAAGCAAATGAGTACAAAACAAATCTGGTCTATTTCTTGTTTCGATCCACTCCATCTATCTTTTACATCTTTGGCTGGCAGCAGACGGTGCAGAAGGACTGCATGCTATCCACATCTCATGGCTGCTCGGCAGAAGATGGTACAATAGGACTGCTAGCAGTCCGTATCGCCTGCCCGCTCACCATAAGATGGTTCAATAGGACTGACTGCAGGACTAAAGAGAATGACCTGGTCAACTCACTCCAAATTTAGTCCCTGCGCCCATGTCTGCCCAGGCGCTCCCAGCCGCCGTGGCCAGGAGCACCTCGGACATGATGATGATGGCTACCAGTCGTACTGTACTGTCTGCTGCCACAAGGCAAGGGGTTGCTGCTACTGTGTAGCAATGCCGTACCGCGTCTGCCAGCACCCAGGAGACATAGGGTGACGGTTACCTGAGTGGGCTCCATGCTTGCCGTGGTATGGCGTCTGCACAGGTAACTCAGGAAAAAAAGGCGCAAAATGATTGTCTGCCCTTGCTTTCACGGAGGGAGGGAGGGAACGGGGGCCTGACGATATGTACCCAGAACCACCCGCGACAATGTTTTAGCCCCATCAGGCATTGGGATCTCAACCCAGAATTCCAATGGGCAGCGGAGACTGCGGGAACTGTGGGATAGCTACCCACAGTGCAACGCTCCGGAAGTCGACTCTAGCCTCGGTACTGTGGAAGCGCTCCGCCGAGTTAATGCACTTAATGCACTTAGAGCATTTTCTGTGGGGACACACACACTCGAATATATAAAACCGATTTCTAAAAAAACGACTTCTATAAATTCGACCTTATTCCGTAGTGTAGACATACCCTGAGACTCTAACGCCGCTTCCCTCCTCTCCCCGCCCACTTCCCTTTTTTTAGCGGCGGCCCCTTTAAATCTCAGTGAGGGCGGAAACGCCGCGCTGAAGCCGTAGTGGGCGAGGCCTGCCCCTTGCCCTGCTCTCGCGACATCAGGGGCCGCCCGGACGAGATCAGCCTTTTCCGCAGAGACGCGGCCAAGATGGTGGGTGAGGGTGCCATGGGCCGGGGCCCTTAATCCGGCTCCATCCGCTTCGGGGCCGGCTCGGCCGGGGCTCCGGGCGCCGATACCTTCGGAGGGCGCTGCCCCCTGCCCGCCTGGGGCTGTATGGGCGGGGAACGGGCCCGGCTCTGGTTGCAGCCCGGCTCGGGCCCTGGCGGGGACGGGGAGGCACCCGGCTTCTCCGGGGATGGGGCCTGAGCGGAGCGGGCTGGAGAGGAGGGCGGGTGCGTTGTGGGGGGAGGGGGAGCCGGGGAAGGAGGGGGGGGTTGCGATGGGGTAGTTGGGGTGTGTGTTGTGCATGTGTCTTGGGGGGCTGTTGGAGGTGCTGCGGGTACGTGCGGTGTAGGTGGGTGAGGTTGCGTTGTAGGCGGTGTCGGTGACTCTGGGGGGTTTTGTGTTGAGGGAGAGTTGTGTCTTGGGGAGGGGGGGTGTTGTGAGATTGTCTGTGTACAATATGTGGGGCTGAGCATGTGTCAGGTGTGCTGGGGCATGACTGGGCACCCGCGGGGTTGTCTGAATGCCGCATGTCGGTGCAGGGGTGGGGTGTGTGTGTGTGTGTGTGTTCTGTGTGGGGTGCTGATGGTGGAGGCCGAGGGAACTTGTGTGCCACTCCGGGGAGCTGTGGATTGTTGTAGGGCCAGGCAGGGTGCTGAAGGTGCGTGTGCGGGTCTGTTGTATGTGGAGTGCTGCCACAGGGCTGCGAAGCTTATGGAAGCATGCTGAGCAGGATTGGTTTATGAACCAGGCTAAACTGATTCCAGATATGTCCAGTAACCAACCTCTTGTAAATATGGATTTGGCCAGTTAAGCCATGTGAATGCTTCACCTTGGGGGGGGGTGTTTCCTTAGCTCTGCGAGATGGAATGTGTGCTCCAAAGTGAAAGGAGCGTTAATATCGATTTCTGTACCAGTGAATCAGTATGAATAATACAGCATTTATATTGGTTCCTCAGAGCACTTTTACCAAGACTAATGAACTACCATGCATGTGCTCCTCTTCCCCCCCAACACATAAACGTGGGCAATAACTGGGCTGATAAACACAGGGGAGTAGGGCAGCCAAGGTATCTGGCAGAATGTCACAGTCTGCGTAGATGTCTTTGTAATTTG